GCACAGTCAATAAAGTTCTCAGCCTGCTCCACCATCACAAAAGCAGACGGAAGCTGGAAACAGCACAAATCTGCATTCAGCCATTCAAGGAAAAGCCCTTATTTCTAAACAATATGAGAAACTGTGACCAGCATGAATAACATACATAAAAGGTATGATTCTGAATGTTCATAAAAAAGTTTTAATGGACAAAAGAAGAATACGGAAAGAAGCTTTAGGTGAACTGAAGCAGAGTTCAGAATGGAGTGAAGTCCAGAACACAAAAACACAATGACTTCCACTTCAAACAATTATGAAGACATATTCAAGAGACACATAATCTGTCTGCCAAAAGAAAGCAAATCCTTTAACCCCTCTATTATGAAACTCATGCATAAAATCATTGAAAAAAATCAAGATTAAGTGTTATTCCTCATTTTTCTCACTAAAATTGTAAATTGATCTCTGGGCCAAAGCTTATAAACACTGGGAGATTGTTAGAAAAAAGTTTCAATTTGACTTTGGCACTTAATGGTAACTCTGCTTTGGTCTGTAATCCTGTGCCATGAATACTGGTTGGGGTGTATTCCAAGAGGCTTTAGACTTGACAAGTCTTTGGAGTTCCTGCGCAATTTGGTAAAGTGATAAATACACAGGACGCAGTCCTATCACCTTTGTTTCTATTGGACCCTAAGCCCGTATAGCCCACTGTCGTGATAATGACTAAACCCTAGTATTCCTCATCGTCACATAAATAACTGTTTTCCCATCAGATAGAGCCTGAAATTTGAATACCAGGACTCTACCCTGACAGAAAATAAATGTCTGACTCGCCTCTCCAATACGTTCTTGCTAAACCTAAACAAATAGAAGATTAGGGTACTTATTACCAGAACAGGTTTCCAAAACGGAAATACGATGTCTAATAAATATTGCAGCATTTAAACTGTCCGAGTGAGCAGGAGAAATTGAGATAAAACTATGCATTCTTAAATCCCTTTATAAGAATATGAAACAGACCGACTCGGGAAGAAATGTGTATACAATGACTGCCTAAAATCCCAGCTTTACTGTTATCATTCAGTCCTCATGGTACTTTCTGTTAGTTCTGCTGACTCCAATATATCAGCTTCTGTATTAGAACTCCGTATTTGGTACTCTTAAATCACCCAGAAAGTAATAAACTCATTGCAAAAAGAAATTTAGATGATTTTAATTCTACTACAAACAGTCTACGTGGAAAATTCCCAGTATCAAACAAGAGGTATGAATAGTTCCTTTCATTTGAACAGCTCTCCTGTGTAAAGTCGTTTATCAATATGATAACTGAAATTTAAGTTCTCTAACTGCCTGTTCTTCAAGCCCCCCAAAAAACCACTTCCTTTCAAAATTTTACCCATAAAGCTTCATAGCTGTAAAAAACATGAAGTTCAATAAATTACCAAGGTAACTTGTTTATTCTGTCCAACCTCGCCATTTTCCTTTTACACAACGACAGTAATGAAGTTTTAATCAATTTTCACATTTATTTTTCAGATCTTTATTTGAAAGAGACACTTGAAAATATTTAAATGGGAGATAGTAATCACAAAATGGCTTTTGGGAACCACTTGTAACAGGGATTATTTTTGATTAAATCTTTAAATCGAAATTAAATCACTCTCTGACAAATTGGCTGTCAGATTTTAGAAAGTGGGGGGACTTGTGGTTGCTTGAACACGGGACAAAGAACTACTAACTACTTGAACTCTGCCCCTGGGACCAGTTGAATTTTTTGTACGAGGTGACTATCTTGTCTTACATTTTTGATCTATTTATATGACTGATCATTGTCAATCATGATTCACAACTATAATTTTGAAAGGATCTTCTGATTAAAAATTTAGGTCATTTTCCAAAAAAATGTTATATATTAATAAGTACATTTTCATCCCAATTCAGTGTATTTTTTTTCAAATTTATACACATATAATATCATAAATGAATCAATTATATCAAAGTTAAGAAATATCCTCCCAACATTTTATTTTTATCATTTCTTTATTTCATTGTCATAGTATTCATACAAATTTGCACTGATAAATTGTGGAATGTTTAAATTCCCTATACTTCATACTATTTTAAAACTATGCTTTAAATTAACATGAATAAGGAAAAAGAAGGTTTATGCATTTTATGTCTGACTATGAATGTATTTTGAAAATTAAAGTTTGAACATTTCAAATAAAATGTGATTAATTCAAGAATTTACTTATTTATTTATTTATTTTTTTTTCCATTTGATAATTATTCATCAAAATATTTTATCCAATGTTTCTCTCATCTTTTTGTTTTACTAAAAGTTGAACATAACTGACTTACAAATATTAAAATCATACCCAAACAAAATTATTTTGTATACAAATGTACATCAATAAAGTCATTATTTTTGCCATAAAAACACTATTTAAAAAAAAAACATAGGGGAGGGGTGGTGAAAAAAAAGGTGATTTCTTTAATGAAATTCACTTCCTTAAGATAAAAACTTCAAACTCTCCAAAAAGAAAGAAGAAAAACCGTATAAAATTTGTTTTCTGTATTAAATGGTCTTAATTTTCATCAATTTTTTAGAAGTAATAAAAATTAACAATTTTTAAATTATTATTAATTTGAAATTGAAACACTTCACATCATAAACATACAACCAGATTTTATCAGAAAATATTTCAAATATATCAATAGTATAATTTTTCTTAAACATTTATGACAATTCAGAATTTTGCTTCTATCATTGGTTAAATTATACCCTGATGTGAAATGAGGGCAAAAAGTAAGAAAATGAACAATTTATATAAGCTAATTGCTCAAGAAAAATACTGAATTTCTCTCAAAAATTGGAATTTGCTCAATAAATGTTATAATCATTCAAAAATATTGATAAAAAATCAAAATCTAGAATATTTCTTTTATTATTGATTGATTTATAGGTATATAGCTTATTGCCCTGATTTATAAAATAAATTATAATTAATTATAAATTTCTCAAATCTTTTTGAGGAAAATTATACATATGGTGAGCATATCAACTGATATTATTCTTGACAATTATTTAGATGGGAAAAATGATATCACTTATTCATTAAAATAATGAAGAAAAAAAAGTTACATTTTCATTTCAAAAATGAAGAAAAAATATCACTTCTGAATCAGATAATGTATACAATGAAAAGGAACAATTAATTTTTTTTTTTTTTACGCTAGCCTAATTCTTATACAAATTCACTGTTCATTTCTTATTTTAAAAAAATCCTGAAACAGGTACAATGCTATTTATTTATGGCCTCTCTTTACAATTACCAGTCTTAACAATACTTACCGTTTCCTTTTCAGGAAAGTTTTTCTCTCCTCCGTGTCAAAAGTTCTCACAATAAAGCTCCTATGTCCCCCCAAAACACAGCAATTAGCTTTTTTATGACACTATCAATGGTCAGTTGATAATCTAATAACCTAGGCTAACTCAGATTACTAGACCATTGTTGAATAGACATATCTGATATGAACTTGACCACCCTTTGAATGTCAAATTTGAGGTTAAACATTTCTTTAATTTCATCCCCCATCGTTCACTGGACAGACAATATTAATAAAATTTTATTAACAAATTAACATTGGGGGCGGTATTATTATTAATATTTTTTTAATTCAATTTTATTTATTTATTTATTCATTTTTGTTTTGTTTTTTGTGTTGAGCCAGGAGCAGAATGAAACTTGCAGTAAGTTTTATTAAGGAATGAATTCAATAGCTTCCTAAGTTACACTGCATAACTTGGGTTGGGGCAGTTTACGCTTTATAAATCACGAAGCGGTTTATAAAAAAGCGTAAACTGTTTCAACCCAGGTTATACCACTATAACTTGGGTAGCTTTTACATTCATTCCTTATAATTCAATTTTCCATCTATTCATGTAGAAAATAAGATGATTTTTCCTTAAAAAATGCCTTCAAAATGTTCATATTTTAAATGTAGCATCTGGCGGATTGATACATTTTTGACATAAGTCATTGTGACATAGGCAACACAGGTTATACGGTATAAACTATAATTTCTTTATCCAATTAAATGATGCATTTAATAATTAAATTATTTCAATATATTTCAAAACAACATATAAATTAAGTACTCTGTATAGGAATATTTCTTTTTATTTCCCTTTTTATCTGCAATTTTTTTGTCTCAAATTTTTCTTCTAATTTTGAAGTCATCTTCGACAAAAATATTAATAAAAAAATATATTCAGATATCTAAATGAGTTTTATTTCTATGAGGCACCCAAACACAGAAAAATTGCCTAGCTCTAAAAAAATCTTTGCAAAACAGTTTTTTCTTCAAATTTTGTTCATCTAAATAATTTCACATTCAGAGACATGAAAAAATTATCAATATACCTTTCCACACATGTACTGTAATTTGTTAGTGTCCAATATATTTTTTTTCAAATTCATTTTACTTTTTAAAAAGTTCTCAAAAAGTACATAAAGTAAGTTTCTTTATGATTATATAATTATATTCTAAGAATACAATTTACTCATCCTTATATTGAACAATTTATTTGTTTGTGAAAAATACGTGAAAACAATTAAATTAAAATAATAAAGTTTTAAAATATAAACTTGTTAATAGAAGAACAAAGATTTCTGTGGAAGAAATCTAAATAATTCATCAATGGGTCACACTTCCAATCATAACTAGTTTTAATACACATGACAATTAATGTCTTAGCATTACATGTACATTCATTGGACTCAAAATGTCTACAAGGGAAATCCCTTACAGCTAAATTTAAGAATCACATTATAATAATGATTTATTTTTTCAAAATTTCTTTTATACACTGTATCTAGATTTAACATTTAAAACATTTGAAAACTGATGTTAAAGCCAAAGAAAATATTATTTATCAAACATAATTGTACATTTTTCAAATACATTAGATAAGAATTATAGAAATCAATAAGAATATTAATTTTATTATTACTTACTTCTGAGGCTACGCCCCTCATCAGGTGTTCCTCGGTCAAATTCTCCACCGTCTGACAGACCCTCTGAGTTTGTAGTAGAGCTGATGCTGTTGGGGCGCTCCTCCTTGATGTGAGCAGAGGTAGCAGATCTGGGACTCCCCTCCTCTCTCTCTTCCTCCTCAGCCGACCCAGTTTCTATTTTAGGTTTTTTGGCCGACGGTCCAAATGCCGAGTGATAGGAACTTTCTGAGTCTGTGCTAACTGGTCTAAATGCACTGGTGGCTACTGGTGGCATGATTCCCATGTTTCGGTCTGGCCGCACAAATGGAGGTACTCCAGAATACATGGGTGGGGGAAATGGATCCCCAGGCCTATACATAGTGAATGGAGGATTTCCATAAGGTGAAACCATATCCTTTCCTTCAGAATTTGTGGGGTATGGGTGAGGGGGAGCAGGCAAGCGTCCTCCCTCGTGACCCTCGGCAGTTGAAGCCAGAACCATTAAAGCTGGTGAAGTCAGTGGATTTGGTAGATATGTTGAATTCTCCATCGCATTAATCTGTGAAGCTGCAAGAACAGCAGCATGATGAGAGAGAAAGGGCTTTTGCCAAAAATTAAATCGAAACATTGCCAAGTCAGAAACTCCAGTCATATTCAGAAAAACTACATTCAGTTTTTCAATTTTAACATATCCTCAAAAAAAAGTGGGTAAAAATTTCAAAACACACAAATTTCAGTTATATTTGACATTTCATTCCTGTCTAGCAATAAATGAATTAAGCATTTCTAGTTGCTTTTGTCAAATAGTTAAATACTTAAATACAGACTCTTAGGACAACCCACTTTTATTGTGACATGCTTGTCAATTATCCGCGCATGCGTGTCGTATTCCTACTGTGCCATATATGGAAAATGTCAACAAAAGCACCTACTTCAATAATAACAAAACATACGGCACCTTTCGGAAAAAATATAGTAACTAACATAAACTAAGAGCTTTTTTACACTACATATAACTCCAAAAATTTACGTTTTTTTCTTCTTCGGTTAAGGATGTGAACGGATATATTTCTGCGACATTTTAATATCTACATCGAGTATTCTGTTATACCTCTATACTTTGCAATTTGAATAAAGGAAATTTCTTATCGCATTAAACAAAAATAACAACATGTAATGAATAACGAATACCATTTTTATCTATCGCAGGTGACAAACTAAAACAGAATCGAAAGATGACACGTATTTTCGTGGATAATATTTACCTATAATCTAGTATTACTGCAAGAGTTTCCCTCTCTGTCTGTGCCTCGTTTTCAATCTTCTATCCATTATTAGCATACTGGGATAACACCTAAACAAAAATAACTCGGGGGATACCTTCGGAAAATCTGTGCTTCTGGGTTTTATATTTTAAATGTCTTCTTTTTAAAAACAAATTTTAAAAAAATTGATACCACACAAATGTGCATTACCCTATCATTTACTCCATTTATATAATCTGAAATCCACCCGATTTCGCATTGCGGTATCTCAGTTTACCGCCACCATAGCCTCGATATGAAGCTTATCTACTTTCGTTTTGTGAACAGCTACAGACAAGACAAGAAATTGTAGAATAGAAGAAATGAGTAATATTTATATTCAAGAGCCCCCAACCAATGGGAAAGTATGTTCAGGATAGATTATAGATTAGCCTATTTTTTCAATTTGTATGATATGCTTCCATGCTAACGAGAATCCAACGGCCGTGACACCTGTTTAAGATTGAATGAAAATCATAACATCTGATTAGAGTAATTTCAAAACCTGTCAATCAACCCGGAAAATTCCAGACTCCTGAAAACTCGAACTCTTGATTTCTCGAAGTTTTTCCTTGGTCCCGCGGACTTTGAGTATCAAGAGTTACATGTACAGTGAAACTTCTCAAATTACAGTAACACGTCCCTAAAAACCAGCACCCCAGGGTTTGACATTAATTTTACGAGTACTAGACCAATTGGGCTACTTCCCATAATTTTTACTAGCCCTGACCGTATAATCACTAGTCCTGACTAAACCTGCAAATTTATTTCTTATAATAGCTAATTTAATGAGGTAAATTTGAAATCGTTTCTCGCACATGTCAAGATATTGACTGACTAGCCAACTGAATCTGGTTCATCAAGACAGGCAAATATTGTAAGCTTTAAAGATCATTCAAGGAACTTAAAAATTTTTTTATCCTAAATATTAATAAATTAATTGCAGAATATATTTTTTCAGTCAGTTACTCTTTATACCATATTGATACTGAATGATGCTAGTTTCTACCGCGACTTGTCTATTACAGCAGCGGGTAAAAATTATAATAGTGATTGTGTCATCAGAGACATATAAAAACCATGGTTTTTATATGTCTCTGGTGTCATGCAGAGATTTTTTTTCTTTACATGTTTACAATCTGACAAAATAAGAAAAATTCTTTAAAAGTTTTTAAAATATTTATTTGAAAGACTGAAATGGGGTTTAACAGTTATTTTATCAACATGACCAATTGGTCTAGTTCACATACATTTTACACGACCGGACCACTCATTTACTAGACTGGGTCGGTTGGACATGCCTTAGTGTCAAACCCTGCACCCCCTCTAAATCGGTTGATATAAAAAGTCCCTGCCAGAACTTTCATTTCTTTGTAAATCTTAGACAATTAGAAATACATAAATTTCAAGTTGGCATGTACTACACTAGCTACAATCTAATTTCACTTTTGTTAAGTAACACAATAAAATTGTTCATATTTTTGTCACAAAAGGACAGTCTGTCACTTGGAATGAATTTTTAATCCAACAAACCAAGTCAGAGTTTGACACGGATGCTGGTCAGGTAGCCAGAGGCTAGTGAATTTTGTCCTGGACTGGCAGAATATCATTTATAAATAATCTGTCAGACTAGTAAAACTAAAACCCTGTACTCTGAGATTTAAAAGAGCACCTTTCTGATTTCACCAATTGTAAGATGCTTACGTTGTTTATGAAGTTAAATAATCTTTGATATAATTGTCTAATTAAATAAAGTGTTGGTTTTTCATTTTAACTCAAAAATACTATTTTTGAGCCATATAGTATCTGTGCACAATGAATGTGATGTTGAAGTCTACATTTTATTTTCTCAAGTTTTTAAAGAAGTTTTCGAGTCTCTGACATTTTGCATAATGTTAGAATGAGCATGTCATTTAACAAGTCTCATTCAGATTTAAATTCTGGGATTATAATAATTAACATAGTATATAGTGATGGGGATGTCCATCTGTGTGTGTCCGTCCATCCATTATGTTTGGGGGTACCCATCTCTTATCCGTAACTCCTCCTATACCAATGAATAAAATTTAATGAGACTTTCACAGAATCTTTATTACTTAGTGCCATTGTGCTATTGTGCACCTCCTGTTTTAAGTTTCGATTGGACAGATTTTGGGGGTTTCCCACAGCAACTGTTAACACTGCTATTCTTTTTGTAAAATTGGGGTTAGCCATCTCTTTCATTTGCAACTCCTCCTAAACCACTGAATAAAGTTTGATGAGACTTTCACAGAATCTTTATTATATAGTGCCATTGTGCGCCTCTTATGTTCTGATTGGACAGATATTTGGGTTTCCCATAGCAAAAAATGGACTTGCCATTATACTCATATGGGAGCAGGGGGTATCATTTTGTGAACTCCGTACTCACAGTACCTCTAGTTTTTTTATGGGGGTGGGGGGTGGGAGGTGGGTTATGTACATTATACAAGGAAAATTTCATTATGTTGTCAAAATTGACCTAAGCACAAACCATCTATTGTGAATCAGTCACTACAAGATCTTCCCCTTGATGCTTTAGTAAAAGCCTATTTAGGCAATCACAGAAAATTGTGTTTCATTTCAAGCTTTAATACAGAATCATCCATTCATTCTTATATTACTAAAGAAGTTACATAATGATCTGTCTTCTTAAAAAGGTTATCTTTATATGAAATGTCGATTTTTTCAGGTTTTATTAATAACTTCAGCTGGAGATCTTGACATTGAATTGTGGTCTAAAGAAGCACCTAAGGCATGTCGAAACTTTGTGCAGCTCTGCATGGAGGGGTACTACAATGGAACTATATTTCATCGAGTGGTTAAGGACTTCATTGTTCAAGGAGGGGATCCAACTGGAACAGGAACTGGTGGAGAATCTATTTATGGAAAGCCATTTAAAGTAAATTTGAGTCTACTTAGAAAAAAAATTGTTCCTCTTTTTACACTTTAAATATATACATGAAATGAGGTGGGGGATAAGAAATAAAATAGTGGTGTATTTGCTGTTCATTCCCTGAGCCACAAGTGAGATAAAATTTCTCCCTATTTTCAGTGAAAAATATAGATCATTCATGTAAATAGATTTGTAGACCATTTTAAACATAGTCCTCTATGGAGTTTTTGGGTTATTTCTTTGATTTTTTTTACACTTCAGGATGAAATTCACTCTCGATTACGGTTTGTCAGGAGAGGGTTAGTTGCCATGGCAAATGCTGGAGCAAATGATAATGGCAGTCAATTTTTCATGACTATGGGACCAACCCCTGAGCTACAAAAGAAGCATACTATATTTGGAAAGGTATTTTAAAGATTTTTAAAACAATTTTTTTTTAATTAGATAAAAGGTAGATATGGCTTATTATTAGCTTCACTGAATCAAAAGCTCAGGTAAAGTTTTTCATAAAAGAGTTTGTTTTTTATTTTTTATTTTTTATTTTTTTTTGTGTATATCTGACTGTAAACTTCTGGGGCCCGTTTTACAAAAGAACTTACGACTAAAACCAAAATTTAATTCTGCTTATTATTTTCTATTTAACATAAATTTGAAAATGGTTTTATTCTTTTTAAAAGGAATTTAGAAATATCAATTTCAAACAAAATAATTACTTTTGCAAAATTTTACAATCAACTGAAGTTTTTGGTCTTAGTCATAATTTCTTTTGTAGAACAAGCACTTGTTCCATAACTAGGATTTTGCTCGATAGATTTTTTTTTATCTTCAGAGAGCAAACTCAACAGGCAAAAGTTTCCTTGGAAAACAATGTTGACATTAATATGACCTTGAGGTTTGCAACCTTGGTTTTATAAATAATTCATAAACAATTCAACATTCTTTACAACCAGGTAACGGGAAACACACTGTATAACTTGGGAAAACTACAGGAAGTAGAGGTGGACCAACACGATCGACCCTACCAACCTCACAAAATCAAAACCACTCATGTAAGTACCCCAGCACTTTAGTTCATGGAGTGGGAGTAAAAACAAAATATGAAACAACATTGAGGAGTCCCCCCGTTGTGGGGGGGTTGGGGTTTGATTGATTGTTCACAATGTGATTAGTGTGATTGATGTCACATTCCATAATATTTTTTTTCACATATTTTACTCCAGATTTTATCAAATCCATTTGATGACATTGTTCCAAGAGTATCTGCTCATGAGAGAAAATCTAAAGATTCAAAAGAAAACAAAGTGAAGAGCAAGTCAAAAGCCACAAAGTATGCTATCAGTTTACATGCAGTCTTGTAGATCAGTTGAACATGATTGAGGATAGAAGCATTTTGTAGTGAAAGGGAGATAAATCTTATTTCATTGCTCCATCTTGTTGTAATTTTTATAAAACATGCAGCATACTTATTTCTTTTAATAAGTTGATAATCATGATTATTAGTAAAATGTTAGTCATATCTTTTACATTTTGTAAATTTAAATATTTTAATAGAAATACATAATGTTCAAGTTCTGTTCTGAAATGAACCCATACCGTAAATGTTTGGTTTTTTTCCCCTTCAGAAATTACAAATTGCTGTCATTTGGAGATGAAGCTGAGGAACAGGAAGAGGAAGTAGATCTGGTATCCAAGGACAACAAAGGAAAGAGCAAAAGCAGCCATGACCTTATTGATGACCCCTCTCTCAGTACTGAAACAACAGAGATAGATCAGGAGGAAGTCAGACGGAGGCTAGCACAGCCCCCCAAGGTATTTTGTCATGAAATCTTTAATTTTAACACAACAGTTTACAACAGAGCATTTCAAGGAAAAATCAAATTCAAAATAGATATATAAAATATATATAAAATAGATAGGAAATTTACAAATCTTTTGATGGATAACTTATCTTGAGATTTGTAACTCTCTCTCTCTTTCTCTCTCTCTTGTTTTCTTTTTCTTCATATTGGAAGCTTAAACAGGGAGAGGGCTCAAAAGGAGTTAGCCTATTGCCAATGATTTTACAATAAAATTTCAAATAAAAAAAAAGAAAGCTTTTCCAAGATTGCATGCATTTGTAGAGAATGCATTTCATTGAAACTTACTGGCATATTTTACATTTAGAACTTTAATTCATAAAACATAACAAAGGTTTTTTTTTGTTTTTTGTTTTTGTTTTGTTTTGTTTTTGATTATATTTTTATTATTTAAGGAGAAAAAGAGGAAATCCCCTTCACCAGATAAAGACCAGGAAGAGGAGCAAGAGAGGAAAAGTAGAACGTGAGTAAAAAAATTATTTAATCAGTTAACAATATTATTGGCTGTGGAAATTCATCTCATATTACTTCTCTGGAGTAGAGTTTCTCTCCCTTTTGCCCAATCTGGCTCCTTTTTGTTTTGTGACGCTCTCCAGGGGTAGAGCTTATTATGATAATTTACTAAAATAGGATGTCAGGATGTTTTCTTTATTTACTCTTGTCAGGATTTGTTTTAAGTCCAGAATAACCAGACTGACTTTCCAGCTTAAATAAACAGACTTTTCAGTTTACAGGTTTATTGTTCATATATAACCATCTCAATGACATAAATACACACCATATGTCAATACAATACACAAAGATTCACTTTGTTATACGTACACAACAACATCAATACAACGTTGGCTCTATTTTATAATTCCAAATTATAGAAATAGGGGGATCACTTTATCCGAAGTATATATCCTGGGAATAACCCTTGATATATATATATATATATTTATGTGAAATTAAACTCTTATGCTTGAAGAATTATATTAAGTCTCTTAAAATAATCAAGAGATCTCAATAATGATCAACGAAGTCCAGAATTCAGAGAAATAATCTCTAAATAATCTTAGATAATAATATTAGTTGACTTTTATGAAAATAAAGTTGTTCCTAGTTCTATTCCTATTAAAATTCAGATGGTAATTAATTAAGGGATTAACCCATTAATTAAATACGCTAATTCCTAGTCCTTTTTCTATAAAAACTGCGAAATTCGTTAATTTGCACTAATTAGGTGATTAATTAAGGGATTAACCCGTTAATTAGATTACCGTTTATCCAAAGGCAGAAGGAATAACCTTCTATTTCCTTACACTTACTTCCATGATTTTGGTAACGTGTATATGCCAAAAGTAAAGCTGGAAAAAGTGCCGGAGAAAGTCTACCGGCTGTTTATATAGACTTCTCAATCCACCGGGGTAACACACGCGCAAGGTTGGAAACCACCGGAGACACTATCGGTGCTTCCATATAAAATAATTAATACAACTTTAATTATACATAAAGTAACATAACTGTAAACATTTTACTACAAAGAATCTTTGTCACTCAAATAAATGTCACAACCCGGAAGAAATGGCAATATACATTCAAAAAGACCGCCAGACGAAAATAGACAGTGACCTAAGGTCAAATGCATAAATTACAACTCTAGCGCGCCATACAATCAGTTCCGGTAAAATGGCAGTTCACATGTGACGAAGGTAAATAGAACATGAAAACTTTGTTATTTACATGACATATCAGTAGCGTTTAACAATATCCCTGTAACACTGTGATAAAAGAAGTTTATGCAATGTAAATAAGTTATAAACAACAATGCATCAAGTCATGAACATTCATATATACCACGTTATTTACAAACATCGAGCACATGTTAATTTAGGGGTCGTATAACAACACAAAATATTACTAAATCAGCTGATCACAGAAAACGATCAACCGTTTGCATAAATGATTACTACAAGTATTATTATTTATATCAACATGACAATGCCATAACATAATGTATGCCTATCAGAGACACATGGCTCCACAGTTTCTTTGTATGTTGTTTAACGTCCCTCTCAAGAATTGTTCACTCATATAGAGATGCCACCATTTGTTGGTGGAGGGCTGTGCTCCTACTTTACCCAAGAGTACCCTAAAAAAATAATTTTCCAGATCATATTTTACCTCCCCTTGGCTTAATTTGACTTGTACTTCACTCCTGGGGTGTTTGTGGATAAAGGGTGTGCAGGGACCTTGATCTAAGTTTGTAGGTAAAAGCTATGGGTCAAAACAGATTTCTGGTTACAATCCTTGTTCAGAGCATTTTTTTTTTCTCTCTTTGGACCAATACCACATATACTTCACATAAAGAGTGCCCTTTGGTAAAGGTGGTGGAATTATCTTCAAACAATGTCTTAGTCTAAGGTCAAGAGTTACATATTTTCTCCCTTGTCCATTTTGGCTCATCCGTCATGGTGATCTTGATCTTGATCCAAGTTTTTAGGTCTAAGGTGAATACAGTCTCTGTTCCTGGTTCAGAACATATTTTTCCTCTTTTTGCCCAGTATGGCTCATACTTCACATAAAGAGTGCCTGTTCATATGAAAGGGGATGCAGTCAGTTTGAACCAATGTTATATGTCGAATGTAAAGGTTTAAACAGATCTTTATATAAAAGCTTGTCTGAAATATACATTTTCTGCCCTTTGGTCAGTTTCATACTTTATCCATAGAGTACTTTGTGTAGTGATTGAAAAAAAAAATCAATGGTCAAGATAAAATAGATTTTTGTGTATTTTTGATAGATGGTGTGATTATTTTCCAACATAAATTCTAGTAATCATTAAGTCAATAAAATGCTGTTTTAAATCAAATTTGGGAAGAAGTTGTCTTTTTCCCATTCTTTGTTGACATACTGTAAAAAAGTGGAATACAATTCAGTGGTTTAAATTTAAATGTGTAAGTGATCAAAGACTTTTCTGCAAACATTAAGCCATCATGAATATATAGGACATCAGAGGGTCATGTCTGGTGTGACAATTTGACAGGGGATGCTCACTCCTCCATGGCACCTGCTTCCAACTTTTCAGGGGGTCCATGTTTGCTCTGATCTTGATTTGTATTGTTTAATTGGACTTTTGAACATTAACTCTGTTCATTATCTTCACATCTATCAATGTAGAATTTACATATAAATATACTAGCTATGTGCCATGCACTTTGAAACCCTTTTTCTTATTTTGAAAAAGTGAAATAGTACTGCAGGTCACTAAATGTTTGCAACACTTTATTTTTGCAAGATTGTTGTTTAATTATGTGAAACAAAATTTTCACAAATTTTGGTTTTTGCTCTATATAATTTTTAATAGTAGAATTATACATGAAAATGAAATTTTTGTGAGCAGACCGTCTCAAGTAATTACACAAAAATAAAAGTTTCCTTGAATAAAAAAGTGATTTAAAGTACATTGTAATTGGATAGTAAGTAACGATCAACATTGAAAATCATATGAAATCGGAGGTAAATCACAACAGCTTACATTAAGTTGGTGGATACGTTTGTCATAAATAATAATTTCTTATAACTTGCTTTGTTTTTAAAGAGTAATTATTTTAATTGTAAATATTTAATAATGAGATATTCAATGGCTGTGAAATTGAAAAAAAAGAAAAAATTAAAAATTTTAAGCATGTTGAATTAAGGATGTTTACATAATATTCAATGGCTGTGAAATTAAAAGAAAAAACCTGTGAAGTGTAAAAACAGAAAAATTTAAAAATTTTAAGCGTGTTAAATTAAGGATGTTTATATATTATGTAAAACCATGTCATATCTCAGATGATATCTGGACAGTAGGTCACATGGAGGGGGAAGATGGATTTGATATCTGGTCAGTAGGTCATGTTGAGGGGGAATATGGATTTGATATCTGGCCAGTAGGTCACATGGAGGGGGAATATGGATTTGATATCTGGACAGTAGATTACATGGATGGGGAAGATGGATTTGATATCTGGACATTAGGTCATGTGGAGGGGGAAGATGGATTTTATAACTGGTCAGTAGGTCATGTGGAGGGGGAATGTGGATTTGATATCTGGACAGTAGGTCATATGGAGGGGGAAGATGGATATCTGGTCAGTAGGTCAAATGGAGGGGGAATATGGATTTGATATCTGGACAGTAGGTTATGTGGAGTGGGAAAATAGATTTGATATCTGGACATAAGGTCACATGGAGGGGGAAGATGGATTTTATAACTGGTCAGTTGGTCATGTGGAGGGGGAATGTGGATTTGATATCTGGACAGTAGGTCATGTGGAGGGGGAAGGTGGATATCTGGTCAGTAGGTCAAATGGAGGGGGAATATGGATTTGATATCTGGACAGTAGGTTACGTGGAGTGGAAAAATAGATTTGATATCTGGACATAAGGTCACATGGAGGGGGAAGATGGTTTTGATATCTGGTCAGTAGGTCATGTGGAGGAGGAATATGGATTTGATATCTGGACAGTAGGTCATGTGGAGGGAGAATATGGGTTTGATATCTGGTCTAGTAGGTCACGTGGAGGGGGAAGATAGATTTGATATCTGGACAGTAGGTGACGTGGAGGGGGAAGATGGATTTTATATCTGGTCAGTAGGTCACGTGGAGGGGGAAGATGGATATCTGGACTATATCATGTCAGTAGGCAACATGATATGGATTTACACAGTATTCTTTTTTACCAATGAAATTTCAAGATTTTATCAAAGGCAGGATTAAAGGTCATCAACAGTGATATGTTGAAACTAAGTTGAAATTACCTATGTCTGAGTCATGACTTTGCATGTTTGGAATTATTGAAAGGGGGTCATGACCTTGATTCCAGGTCATACATGTATCACCAAAGTCAAAATCCAAAGACAATGAGATTTTGAAATCATGCCCAAGCTGTACCTTTGTAATGAATCTTTGGAATGAATTCATCTTTGATATCCTGTTCCATCAGAATGTCTACAAAATCTGATGGAGATTATCATTTTGATATGAGAGATTGCCTAACTTATAGCGACACTCCTTCAGACAAGTTTTGTAATCTTTGATGACCTGTTTTTTTTTCTGATTGGATCAGTAAACAATGAGAGAATAAGACTGATTCAGAAGCTGATGCACTGGATATAACATTTGGTTCACTGTCTCATATACAGTAGCTGTCACTCAGTTTGAAATTTTGATTCTGTTAGTCTATAAACCAAAGTAATAAATATATATTGCTTAGAAATTTGCATTTTTTGATTATATATGCTTTATGGAACAGGAATATTTGTATCTTCTATTGCTATAACAACGAACATTGATTATCTATGGATAATATTTGTGATAAAAAGGGGTGATGCAATTACTAGCTGTACCAGTCACTGTAAAAGTGATAAAGAGATGTCGATTATCTGTGCTTCTACAGACAAGCACTAGTTTCCATTGCTTACTTGTGTACATCATCATAGTTTTTTCATACATACAAAATAATTCAAGGCACAAAAAATTTCATTGAAAATGCATTTGGAATTTGAAATGTAATCAAAACACTAAGTAATTAAATTTTTTTCAAATACTTTTGATAAACTACATGTAGTTGGAAAATTTCAAATATCGGATGTAAAATTTCACAAAACAGTTCAGTTGTTCATATTAAATGATAAATAAGCCTTATATATCTCTCAACTTTTTCCAAATACATATTGCTCTTGGATAGAAAATCTCCAATTAAGTTTTGAAATGAATGAAGGTCATTTGAAAAATCCACACATAATCCATTGCTTGCTTTGACTGAGCTAGTTAGGAAGGCAGTGGTGGATCTGGGCTTGGAGAATAAGAAATCTAGAGTAGTCATTTAATGACTTTATTGTGAAATTCTTCTTATAAAATGTTGTATGATATCACTCCTTGTTAATTTTGTTCCTAGTGAAGAATTGCGGCAAGAGGCAAAGCGATTAAAGAGAGACCTGAGGGAAATGAAAACAGACAAGAAACAAAGTGAAGAAAACAAAGTTAAAGAAGGTAAATTTAATTTACCAGTACATTTTCCTGATTGACCTAATGACACCAATATTAATGTCATACAGCTAAAGGACACAAAACATAGGGCTTTGTTACCAACCTTATCTATTTTAGTCATTCATAAAAAATTAAACAGATCGTCCTCACATTTATTTCTTGTCAAGATATATTTCAGAGCAAACCCCTTTTTCATTTTTGTAATAGAAACATGATTACCGGGTACTTTCATTCATACATTCATACATGTGTGACAGTAGATCAGAAAACTGATGGCTTTTATCTTTAGGCTGGAAGAAGTTGGAGTATCTGTTTTTGCACCCAAACATCTTTTTAGAAGAGAAATATGAAACCTTTTAAATTAAACTCTCTGTCAATGTATGCATAGAAATGGAATTCACAACCACGCTACAGATTTACACTGCTAAATTTGGAATTCTATAAACTTATAACAAGACAACAATTTCAAGTTCAGACATCTCAAAGTTAAATGTACTAGAGGTTTCTTTAAACTTTTAAAAGAAGTCCTCAAAATCACAATGAAGACCAGTTTTCTTTTTGAAGTAAACAGTCTCTGTGTAAAGAATTTTATTTGGTACTGAACAGTAAAATGATGTGGTCTTCCACTATTGTCAGAGGATTGTGTAACATATACCATGTTATTGGTTTTTTTTTCTTTACTCTTAAATCTAAAAAGAAGAATTAATTACTGTACACAGGGAAATTTTCGCCCCCGTTTTATTTTCGCCCCTTTCGCCCTAACCTTATTTGGGCGAATTCAAAGAATACAGTATAATTTCTAAAACAAAACTATGACCAGGCGAATTTAAGACTGGGCAAAATTGTTTGCAAGTGTGAAAGGGTGAAAATAACCCCGTACACAGTACCTTGGTTCTTATTTGCTTTGAGAAAATTAGGAGGGAAAAAGGCCTCATCTTGGCTAGAATCATAATTACAAAAAAGAAAGGGTAAAAAAAGACTAGAGACAAGCTCAGTGGAAACAATATTATATTCAATAAAGGCATGCTTTTATATCATAAATTTTAGATTAATAGCTTGATTAGAAAAACTGTCTATAGTATTCTGAAATATTTATAGCTAGGAGAAAATTGACATTTTAGAACCAGAAGAAAAGAATGAGGTCATAGCAGCGTACAAAGCTGAGCGAGAAAAATACAAGAAAGCAAAAGTGAAGAAGGGAAGTGGCAGAGAAGAGGCAACATTGGCCCTACTGGCAAAGTTTCAGTCCAAGTTGGACTCTGTCAAAAGAATCTCAGCTAACTACAGTGATGAGGAAGAGGCCCCTGAAGGGGAGGCTGAAACTGAGGCCCCAGGGGATATATCATGGTAAAAATCTGTAAAAATCCTTCAATATCCATTATAATACATTGTATAATATACAGAATTTTGATATTTTGTATGGTAGTAGACCTTTTTAAATTAATACATTTATTAGTCTTATGACCATGAATTATACCTTGTGGGAATATTTTTGTAATAATTTTAAAGCATACATTTATATTTTTTAACAGCAGTATGTAGGAATTTGATACTGTAGATGACCAAATTTTTGTGACGCCTTCTTTTCTTGAGATAGTTATTTGTTATTTATAAACAAGACAAAATATTCTTAAATTTTGTAAGTTGTTATATGTAATATTTAATAATACATGTATAAGTGAGAATGAAAATTTTGCAAGCAGATGGTCTCCCATAAATACCTGAAAATATTTTTTTTGCAAATAAAAAGTAATTTACAGTGTACCATTTGTTAATTAATTGTAAGAGATTGATAACCATATGTGACCTAGCTTGGTCTTAGATCTTCCCTTCAATTCTAAGATAAAAAGACATTTCAAATAAACTTTGAATTCAATTCAACATGTTATAAATTTCAAGTTTTAAAAATCATACCCAAATGTCACTGTTGCAGGCAACATGTGTACCTCTCGTATGAAAATAATTGTTGTTCAACTAAAAAATAACATAGTTATTACTTTACAAAATATTACAAGTCCATTTTTTTAAGTATTCAACATCACCTTAGAGCAAATCACCTGATTCAGCATAATGTGAATGATTTTCTAATGCAGAGTAGCATTGACCTGAGAAATGCTGACAGAGGTTTACTGTATTCTTTGTGATAAGATACTTTGGTAATGATTTTTTTATGGCCAGGATATAAATCACCAGTACTTAGTGCTACCAATAATTTTCAATTCATGTCTCATCAAGGTGGCTGTACATTTGTAATAATTATAGATTTTAAATAAACTGTATGTTTTCTCCTTAATTAAGGTTTCAGAAAAATGTGTCGTCATGTGGAAAGAGAAATAAATATACAATAAAAAATGTCTAATCCAGACATCTCTGTTTCCATAGGTATATGACAGATTAGACAACGTTCCAGATTATACATTCTAAATAATTAAATTCAATGAAAGGGACTAAAAGTTTTCATCGTAAAAGACAAGATTTCAGAATATACAACATCTAGATTATACAAGTTTTACTGTATTTTTGAGAAGAATTAACATTTTGGTCACAGACAACAGATCTTTATTTTGTACCTAATTCTTTGCAGGATGACTCACAAATTAATTTTTGAAGATGAGGAAAGAAAGAGAAAAGTGATTGATGCAAATGTGCAAGAACTTGATCGTTATGAGATTTATGACCCTCGTAATCCCCTCACAAAGAGAAGACGAGAAAACAGCAAACAAACGATGAAAGAAAAGAAACACAAAACATGATGTGACTGAAATCTATTTATGTAAATGATATAGTGTAAACATGAAAAACCATTTTATTTTTAAGGAAATAATAAAAAATGTTTTTATGGCAGAGAATATTTTTGGACAGCAGATACATGAATAAAGAAATGAGAAAGCACACAAAAGTGAAATCAATACAAGTTATTATGTAGGGTTAATTTCAAAGTCCTGCTCACTGCATGCAACATTTTTACCTCAAGTATATGTATTGTGACTGACTCAGACAATTTTTTTGACTGGGGTGGAACACATACCCCCCACCCCCACACTCCCTGGAAAAAAATTCCTGGATCTGCACCTGTTAGTGACCATGGCAAAGCATTCATAGAAAGTAAAATTTAACTAAAATTATGTATCTTGATAAAATCTACATATGTTACAAGCTTGATCAAAATCTGACAAAAACTGTAAAAGACGTAGTATGTTGAAAACTTGTTTATAGTTAGACAGACATATGGACAGAGAGTTAAAGAGACACCATGATGGACAAACGGGAAAATTGACAAATGTAGAATTTTTGCAAGACATGCAAATTTTATTCAATTCTTGAAAGTATTAGGTTTCAGAAAATTACAGCTTTCAGAACCTAAAAAATCTACTTTTATGGAGAAAAATATAAGTAAAAATAATTTTAATTTGCCCCAACACGAAAATATTGCTTCACTTCTTCCTCTTTAAGGTATGCATGTGCAGAAAAGTTGAAGAAGTTACCAAGGTGTCAATTCCATAGATATAAATGTTCGGATAACTGAGAATTTTGATATAATCTTCAAAAAAGATGATCAGAACTTATTCCTCACTTTTGATTGCTCCAATCCAATGTTGTTTGCAAGTTTCACATTAAAAGAAAAGACACATGACCTTGACATTGACGATAACAATCACGCCATAGATACAACTTTTCTTTTTCCGGCATTACATTTTGCAGTCTTTTCTTGCTTTTACCGTGCAGTTGAGATCTCAAAACTTCGCCTTATTCATATTTCTCATAAATCTTTAGTTTTATGATACAATTATCTTAAAAGAAAAACATAATATTGACTCACTATGTAACTTTAACAAATTACCAATGCATCAGCTCCTCTGGTTTTTGACTCAAGTATTGATTCATGACAGTAAAATAGGACATAACCTAAATTTACTACTGTAAACATGGATATTAAGCCTGTATTGAAGAGTATATAGTTTTTGCCCTGTCCATCTGTCTGTTTGTCCACAAAAACTTTAACATTGCTCATAACTTATGATTGGTTGGAGCTATGGCTTTCATATTTCACATGTGTATACCTTGTGACAAGAACTTTCTTTGGGTACCATCATATTTGACCTTGACCTTGGAGTTTGACCCAGTTTTACAAAATTTTACCCAACTTTAACCTTGGCCATAACTTTTGAACAGTTGGTGCTAGGGCTTTCTTACTTCACATGTGTAATCCTTGTGACAAGACCTTCTTTTGGATACCAATAACTTTGACCCTTTGACCTTGACCTATGAGTTTGCCATACTTTGAAAAACTTTAACCTTGGCCATAACTTTTGAACGGTTGGTGCTAGGGCTTTCCATACTTCACATATGTAATCGTTGTGACAAGACCTTCCTTTGGATACCAAAAACTTTGACCTTGATCTATGAGTTTGACCTACTTTGGAAAACTTTAACCTTGGCCATAACTTTTGTACAGTTGGTGTTAAGGCTTTTATTTTTTCAATTGTGTAATCCTTGCGACAAGACCTTCCTTCAGATACCAACAATTGTAGCCCATTGACCTTGACCTTGGAGTTTGACCTTCTTGTGGAAAACTTTAACCTTGGCTATTACTTTTTAACAGTTGGTGCTAGGGCTTTCATACTTCACATATGCAATCCTTGTGACAAGGCCTTACTTTGGATACCAACATCTTTGACCATGACCTGGGAGTTTGACCTACTTTTGAAAAACTTTAACCTTGGCCATATCTTTTGAACGGTTGGTGCTAGGGCTTTCATATTTCACATGTGTATTTCTTGTGAGAAGGCCTTTCCTTGGGCACCATTATTTTGACCATTGACCTTGATGTTTGACCTACTTTTGAAAAACTTTAACCTTTTCCATATCTTTTCAATGGTTGCTGCTAGGAATTTCATATTTCACAGGTACAAGACCTTATTTTTGGTACCAACATATTTTTTTTTTTTTGCATTTGAGAAAGTTTAACCTTCGCTATAAGTTGCCATATGTGGGCATCAGTGTTTCACAAACACATATTGTTTTTTTAATGAAGAAAGTTGAAATGGTTACTAAATAAATACAATCTATTTTTAGTAGCCATGGGAACACTGTTCATCAATATATATATATATATATATATATATATATATATATATATATATATATATATATATATATATATATATATATATATATATATATATATAGTCTATTTGTATACCAAGGTTATTGAGACCAAAACTGTGGAATTAGTAGCATTTTGATGGAATTTTACAGGTATTCTTAATGAGCATGTAAATGCCAATCTTTGAAATCAAAACATTTTATGTGTATGGTGTTTTCTGCTTTTAATTTTTTTTCTGTAATGGGATAGCATTTTGAAAAATAATTTACAGAGGGATGGGTGGCTTTACAATTGTATAAGTTCTATTCTTCGACCATTAGGGCTAGAAAGTACCGAAAATTTAAAGTGCACTCTACACTTATCTAACATATCTTTATTAGACCATCCCCCTTAAGTATCAATATTAATTCTTTCAAGGACTTATCATTTCACAGTATAAACAGTTTTATAAAACTCAGACAGAATAAGCTTTTAATATAAACCAAAAAACGTGATTTTCTTCGCAAGTTTTTTTTCTCCAAGGTAATCAATTTTCATGTATTTACAATGGAAAAAGTGTGAAATCGAAATGCCACATTATATAATATTATACTTTTAAAGAATAAAATATGATATATTGGATCCTGTACAACAGGTATATCCAATAATGTAGATCAAGTATTCAAACAGTTCTCTCTCTCTCTCTCTCTCTTTGCATTTTCCCTGAAAGAGGATACTATAATTTATTTTGAGCATTGCTATCAAATTCACCTGTACACAGTATTCTACTTATACATGTCTACATTATTGTATGTACTGTGACTAGTGTCAAGTTTTACTTGTTGATCAATAACAGGTGGATAATGCATGCTGGTCAGATGGGCTGGGTAAGTCTGTCTCTGGTTGTCATGGCGACAAATACCGTTGTAACACGTGACAAGACCTTGCTTTCTACAGGTATGGGGAATTAGTCAAAACACAACGAAAGGACGATGAACAGAGAAGTTCATTTCATCCCGCATCTTATTTTGGTTTGGGGATTCTTCTCGTATTCAAATGGGTTACAAGGTGAGCAAAAACTGTTCGTTTTTCTTTCCATCAAATTTTGTTTCTCTCTAAACTATTTGATTTTTTTCCATACCATTTTACAAGATTAGGAATCCATCCAACTTGTGTTAAAATTGTGCTAACACGTAAAAGGTCATACAACATTACTGTTTTCAAGTTTTATATTGATCTCAAGACGATCAACGAAAGTTATTTAAATTAGATCATTGAGAATAGTCTCCTATTAATACAACAGAGCATCCTCTTGGCCACGTTTTGTATGAAGCAGCATTAAATCTTTCTTTTATTTTTCATTAATAATTTTATCGGCAAGAACTAAAAATTCCTTTGGAGATGAAAAGATATTTCTGTACAAAACACACATACACACAAACTCAGCGTAATTAACAATGTTTAGTAATTAGCAATATTTTAATCCCAGATACATATTTGTTTTTGAGTAAAGTCCAGATACATAAACTTACATCAAGGAAAGCAACAATTCGTTTTCTTTCTTATAAACAAGGCTTTTTTATGATAAGCCTTTTAGATTTTAGCTTTATAAGATTTTCTTTGAGTTTATTCACTTGAGCAATTGATACTACATGCTACTATTGTCTCAGTAAATCACAAAGCTCGGCCGCAAACGAAATTTAACATTTCAAAAAGTACTTTCACAACTGAGCATCCAAGGAAAGCACAAGATATTCAAAGCTGAAAGAGTAATCATTTTTGTTTCAGACTGTCTTCAAAGCAAAAAATAAATAAAATAGTAATAAATAAATATAAATTTTAGTGCATTTGCTCATCAAATTGATTCATCGGTATAATAAAGTAAGAATTTATTGTCATCAAAATGATGATGTATGCCTCTTAATATGAACCTGGATCTTTGTCACGTGATAATGCCCATGGTTTCTGCAGAGTAGGCTATGCTGCACGGCGCGGTGAAAAATGTAGAAAAAAATATTCTTGTGTCATTCTCAGCTGTAGCATATTCAAAACAATTTTTACCAGTTGAACAAATTTTCAATTTTTATTCATCATGCACTTTTACTCCCAGGTGGATGAGTACCTATTGTACACTCTTTTTAAATAATCAAATTACATTTATTATATACCCAACTGTTTGTCACTCAGTTTTACTGTTGAATTTATGCAATTTATGACGGTGTGATCCGACGTTCCGGATCACGTACCACACTGTGGTTTTCTGAATCCATATCACCCCTCTCTGAAACTGATGACGTAGTACACAGATAAATGACGTTTTTATTCTCGCGCTTCAAAAAGTTCCTTGAAAAAATGGTTTGTTTAATGTATAAAAGTTATGTAATTTATCCAAAAAGTTACCTTTTATTACATTTTGCTAGTTGTAAAGGGGTATATAATAAATTTATCATTTTAACAGTAACTTGATCCGAAGAGCCGTATCACGTCTCGTTGACAGGCGCGGATCATCAGATCAAACTCGACGCTTCGCGTCTCGTTTGATCTGATGATCCGCGCCTGTCAACTTGACGTGATACGGCTCTTCGGATCAAGTTACTGTTATAATAATATATATTTATGTATTGGGGACCGGGAAATGGGGAGGGTTGAGGGTGTTGCAGTCAGGCAGATTCGTTCGCTAGTGACCAGAGAGTTCAGAAAACATAACTAGTGGTACTTGGTAGAGCATCTTTTTATTTTGAGTCCTGGTATATGGTCCGTCAGATCTTGTTCCTGTTACATTTGGTGCCGTGATCAGGATGATACGGTTGAAAGACTTGCCAGTGAAGAGTCTTGGTTGGTGTCGGGCAAAAACATTTGAGGAGGGAGGAGCGTAGCGATGAAGCAGATTAAACTCAAATAGCTGAGGTGGTAGGGAACCTGGTCAAGAGGCCTGGGTTCCAATCATGGTCTGGTCCGTCACATTTTGTCCCTTTCTCACAAGGGTATACTGTATACTGATTCGTATTATTTTAATGAATATATAATCAACCAATGACAATATTAGCACTAAACTGAGAGCTAATATGGTGCGAGCAAAATCGCGTTGTTGGCGGAGTTTAAAGAAGGACTACATATTTAGGAACGACTTGACTTTACCGGTCCCCAGAAAAACGCGCTAAAATATAGTGTCGCCGTAGGCGACTTCAATATATATGAGATCGCGTGAGCGATCGAAAAAAATTTAAAATATGAGGTTTTAAGCCTTTTTGACCCCAAAATCGAATTCTACGGTTAAAATTTTAGTTTAAAACTTCGTTTTTAAACGAAGTTTTTAACCTCGTTCTCTGAAAAAAAGTAATAACTATTGTTTATTCAGTGAAAAGGAGACACAAAATAACCCATTGATGCTAGACTAACCCATGTGCGAGGACTAACCCTAATCTCTCGGATGGATGCGAGACTAACCCTAATCAGTTGAAAACTTATGGAAGGACTAACCCTAATCTTTCAGGTGGGTGCAAGACTAACCCTAACCAGTCGAAAAATGTGCAAAACCAACCCTTATCAGTTGAGTGACGTAAGTCTTACGTCATAGTGCAATGAGCACGCGGATCTTGCGGATCTGGGGACCGGTAAAGTAAAGTCTACCCCATATTTAGAGTTTAAACATTAGGTGATACGGTTTCGATAGGTATATATCTAAATGGAGTTACCAACCCTTATACTCGTACTCTATTTCACACTCTGTTTCTGTGCCATTGTTAAGCTGAAATATGATTCAATTGCACAAGCAAGGTCAACAATGGGGGACTCGTGCATTGGGGTGACAATGGAGGGCCACCTGTGATAAAATGGGGGTATACATTTTTTGACAGATATATGTACAGGGCTATACATGTTTTTATGTGTAAACAATTTTCACTTTAAAAAAAAAAGACACACGATCTTTTCAGCTTTGATCAGCTTAAGTCTGAGAGCTGGTTTTTATTTCCAAGAATTTATAAAAAGCGGTTTAATTTTTCGCTTTAAAGCATGCATACGCTATAAGCTTAAACGTTTTATATAATTGTTTTCCTTAAAATTTCCTTCAAAAATACCAATATCACTCTTGCACAAATACATTATGTAAGGATATTAACTATCATTTGATCGTGTTTAATTAATATGTGTTATTGTATAAATCGTCAACACGGTGAAATCACGACGGAACATATATGGTTATACAAGAATCTAGGCTGATATATAGGTGCGTTTGAAGATTCCAAATAATGACCCGAGAATTAAATAACTGTGTAACAGCTACTGCAAAATCGATTTTAATTTCTGGTTTATACGTTGATTCTTTCTTTTTTCATCTTATTTGTTGTGATACAGAATCAATGAATCCAAGAACACCAGTCTACGGAGAAGAAATACTAGTATCTGATGGTGATTCTCCAAGATTCTCTTACGTCTACCGATCTTCTTCATAGCATGGCCGTAGGAACCGGGGGGGGGGCACGGGGGGGCGTGCCCCCCAATAATTTTGCCGATATATAGATTACTATAGTAAACATAGATACTATAAGCATGTGCCCCCTCAATAAAACCGCCTGAATACCCTTTTTTTTTTTGTCAGTCAGAAAATTTTTGGTAGTGCCCCCTCAACTGTCAACTGAAAAATGTTTGGCTGTGCCCCCCCAAACTGAAATTGCTTCCTACGTGCCTGCATAGCATAAATTTAGCATAATCTTTTTGTATAAAGAACGTTTACTTTTATTTTGCTTGCCTCATATGTAAATAAATAAATGAATAAATAAATAAATAAAGTAAATAAATTTAAAAAAAAAAAAGTAACATATAAAAACCTGAAAATCCCCAAAGAATAAATAAAAAAAACCTGGTAAAATAATTTTTGACAATGAATGCATTGGTATATTTTTGCCAAATAAATTTTTGTACAAACTTTTCAAATGAGGGGTCTACATTTTGAAGAATTCTTTAAACTGAATAGTGTTTGAACATGATTTATATTTCTAATCAGTGAAAATTGTACAATTTCAATCAACTGAAAATTGTTTAAGCAGATCTAATACAAAAGTTTCGATCAAGAATATTTCAAACGAAATTCTCTCGAGAGAAATGAGCTTAAACGTTGATAGATAGCTGCTTCTGATTTTGAAAAAGACTCGTGCTTTTTTGTTAATTTCTCTGGATCGAAAAGAAAGGTCATGAACATGTACACACACATCGTGACTATTTAAATAAAGCCTGGTAATTTTATTTCAATACATGTATATGAAATGTTCTGATAGATGAGATTACACGAAACTCATATTATTCCTGTAAGAAAAAAAAACTTAGGTTACCTTAGACTGATCAAAAAATTCATTCTTCTTCAAACGACCGCAGAGGGAATTTTTTTCATCGTTTAAGCAATTTTTCAATTAATGAGTATCTAATGCTTCTGTTTTAAACCTGTAAAGGGAAAAGGTGAAGAAATTATATTCCCACTCTTTGTGACCTTGACCTTTCAAATGACCTTGATTCAAGCACAGGCATTTGGGGGATTGACCCCCTCCCCCTTTTCCATTTTTGTTTCTGTTTAAATTGGGATCGACACTCCTTTTTGGTGTTTTTATATTCTAATATGCACTACATACTACATGTATCGATAATGTATCCCTTTTGTCTTTATAAGCTGTTTTTAAATATATCACTTCGACTAATACATAAAAAGAGAGTTTTTTTATGTATCAGTCGAAAACGATATATTTAAAAACAGCTTATAGAGACATGTAGTGTATATCAGAATACAAAAATATTGAAAAGGTTTGTCGGCCCCAGAAAAATGGGGGGGGGGGGTCCATCCCCCAAGTGCCTGTAGATTCAAGATGTAACACACTTTCTGATCTCCAATAATTTATAGATGAAACTGTAATCATTCAAGAGAAAAACAAAAAATTAAAACGAATGTGCCAATTTTCGCCATTTTTTTCACCAAAAGACATTCATTAGAGGGAAGAAATGAATAAACACAGTGTCCGAGCAGCCCTCGTCCGCTCACGGAATAAAGTAAAATGAACCTTTTTAGTGATTTTGTGGTATATAGCTAAACTATAGAGCCAAAAGTACATCTCACAAATGATATCTGTGATAATTTTATATATATGTACCGAAGGGAGGCACGTATTCAATTTTCATGTAATTTGACGAATTCACACATATATGTATATATATACACTCAAATATTACTAAGAAATTGTTTTGGTATTTTCAGTTAATTTAACATTTAGCTGTCAGGGCTATGATGGTGCTGCTACAGTTGAAAATGGCTACGACATATTGGTAATATGATATATATGCATGTATAATAACTTTTGTTTGCACATATATTGTCATTCGAAATAAAAATTGTATATAAAGATTCTCTAAGTTCACATTGCAAGTTGTCAAACATATTTTGTATTGCAAGAAAATTTGTGGCGACAGCGCAGAACTGTCAATGGTCGCTGATGAAGATCTGAACATGGCGGAAGTCACCATCTGCTTTCTGGAAAACACAACTGCTATGAGTAACAAAAACGAATCGATGCTCATGAAATTCAGTAAGATTTTTTTTACTCGTGAAAATTATTATTTTATTTATTTAGTTATTTATTGTCGCTGTACTTTAGAAGTATTTTACAGTCACCACCATAAATATTCTGGCCGTTGTTTAAATCATCTCTGTTTTTTATGATAGCCATCGGTGGTTACTCAAAAAGTACAACATGGACACCTTCAGATATTTCCATGGTGATAGATAATGCCCATTTACCATGTGGAAGTGGTGAGAACTGATTATTAAATATACATATAGCTTTTTTCCGTGACAGAGTTTCTCAAATACATAAATAATCGACCATTATTTCACCAAATTGTACTTAAAATATGAAGTTTGATCATGAGCAAGAGGCCAAAAAATCCTTGTTTTTGATAAATAAAACTTGATAATATTTGTGTAAATAAATTAAATATTTTTTTAATTGTTGATGAATGTTTTTACATTTCTTTACTTCACAGGATACCTGAGAGCTCAGGTGCGGAGCAATGGAATGGTTATTGCAACTGAGTATGAGAGGGCGATAAGAATATGTGACAACTCGGGTAACTATTCATTGTATAGCTATTAAATATTAATCTACACATGTATATTGAGTATTGAGCTAGTGTTCGTAAGGTGTTGGGAACGAAGGGTTCAGGCTACCGCATATTTTTTGGCTGATATTGTATTGGCATGAAAACAATTTCAATTTAGCTATCTCACAACAATTATTGATCTAGAATCAGAAGTTCGATTAATATTTGAGCAATTACCTAAACACAAATACCCATACTGTTTTTCCCAAACTCGGTGTATTTTCAATTACATAGGCCATGAACCTTCTAGCATGATGTAGAAACGGTATATATATATATATATATATAAGTTTGGATCCACTCATAGGGATGATGCTTGAATTTAAAATTTTAAAATATGTTACATAAAATATGATATGGATTTTCTGCGATGGATCCTCAAAGAGAAACACTATTCCAAGTAACAGAAACATAATACTACATTTCTATTCTATAAACATTCATATACAGACAAGAGAAAGAAGCGAATATCACATTACAGTATCATTTTTAAAGAAGAGATTTTTTTCATTAGCGAATAAGACAGACATTTTACTGTATTTCCTTTTTCAAAACAAATCAATCTTATTTTTATAGCACAGGACCACAGGTCTTTAGATCTGCATAATCCGACTTACAAAATATGTGGGGTGTTAAAAAAAAAGAAGATACACCCACATATTTTGTAAGTCGGATTAAGGCGATCTAATGCATGCGCGGTCCGCCGCCCCCCCCCCCCCCTGGAATTTGCAGATTTATTAAAAGTATATACTGAAGCAAATAAAAAATTACTTTGGACCTCTCCTAAGAAATGTGGACCCCACCATCACCACCACGAAATAGTTTTTTTTTCACGTTTTTTTTTTTTTTTTTGGCCTATCAAGAAATACTCGGATTGGAATTTTTTTTTGACTGGGGTGAACCCACCCCCTGGAAAAAAATTCTGGATCCGCGCCTGTAATGGCCTGTGCACAGGATACTCCAAATAATATGTTGTAGAAAGAAGATGGGTGAACATGACGAGCGAAAAGCCTTTAGTGTGACAAACATGAAAGTGAAAATTTAATTTTAGTTATATCAAAATTTTCCTTGATATTTCATCTAACATTAAAGTATACTTTATGTAAAATCTCTACAATTTGCAAAAATCTCACAAAGATTGAAATTATTTGCCTTTTAAATATTATTCACACACTAAAGAGGACAAAAAGAGTCATTTTCTCATACTATAACACTATTTTTCGATGTGAGTGGGTCTCCGCTCCATTTTTTTTGAAAAATCCTCAAAGTTTGCATAAAAATACATGTATACAATTTTGGTTATTATCGTTTTGCTAACAGCGTGACAGTTTGGGCGTGTTAAAATTGAAATCATAGTAATTTACATATGAAGCTCAGAATACAAAAAATCCTTAAAAATCTTCTTCTCAAGAACCACTGGGCCAGAAAAGATGAATCTCATCTGAAAACTCCGTGAGGTAGTTTAGATTATCTTGATTAAATTGATCAAATAATGGCCTCCTGGGGTAGGATGGGGTCACAATAGGGAATCAAAGTATTACAAGGGGGGGGGATCTGATGATGAACAGCAGGGCTAAAGTGACTCAGGTGAGCATTGTGGCCCATGAGCCTCTTGTTTCCGATTTTAAGAGAAATCTCTTCATATTTTTTTTTTTTCTGATATAAGAGAAATCTCTTCAATCTTTGAACATGTAATATTACTAATACCAGTATTTAAACTTTCATATTTGAATTACCTGTACTCTATTTTATTAATAGTACATGTATATTATGTCTAATTCGTGCATTCATGTAGGGGTTCCCCGCCACCCAAGGTGAGGAGAACACAGGGGTCTCCAAGATTTTGTCACTGTTGTCTTGTTATTTTATCAATAAAATTATGCATAAAAAGTCGAATTAAAACCTCTTCCAAATTTGTAGAAAACGACTTTGAAGTTTATTATTTCTATTGTAATTTTTTTTTCAAATAGAAAAAGTTAAACATATTTAGAGAAAACTACGGATTGAACTCTTGGTAAAAAAAATTACCATGAAAGCTGTCTTGCTCAACTATCTAGTTATGATTGTTGCAGACATAGATATAAGTCTCCACATCGATGCCGCGATGAAGACGCCTATGAAACCACAGCTGTACACGGGGATGTACTCCAACGATCTTCTGTCTCAGCTCTCGCAGTACATGGACTTCAACAAAGTAAGTTTAATATTCAATTAAACCCCTTATGTGAATATGGTGTACATGTAAGTTTGACGTTTGTTGTGGTTGTAACCGTTTTTGTCACTGTATTTCGTAACAGATTTTTTGAGAATCCTAGTGCAATTACTGGTGTACAAGTGTACCTCTTTCGAAATGGATAAACATTAGATGCTAATATATATAATCGAGGAAAAAGTTGTTGTAACTTGAGAGTATGTTCTGATCTTGACCAAGGATAATTTGGACATGGTCAAGGTCACAGGCTTAAAAAAAGTAAAAATTCTGCCTTGACCTTTGAAGAAAAATATCAGAAGATAGTACTTGGCTTGCTTGTGATCAAGGGATACATAACAATCCTGCATCGTGGTCATTTTGTTCATTGAGTTCGAAGTTCATGTTCAGGACTATATAATTTTTTTATTAGTAGCATAATTTTGCTATGGAATAACTTTATAAAATCAATCTTGCCCTCGGGGTTGATAATGTTCATAGGATTTGTAATGACACAGACAAAGGTCATTTAGTCAATGTAACAGAGCTCAGACGTATCAAATTATGAAGGCCTCGGAAATGCAGAATTTAAAAAAAAATCGTATTGGGGTCGTATCAAGAGGTAACGCTAACGCTAACACAAAGATTGCTTTTGACAGGATCCTTTTACATGTTTATCGATATTACCCACAGTTGTTTGTAAAACAAAATAATCAAGGTTACATGACTCGGAAGTTAAATGTTCTTTGGGTCTTGACTTGTTAATGCTACGACAGTGGATTTTCATAGATTTCATACTAAACACAAAGGGTGCTCACTCTCATAGAAGTTATAACCTTCAGTCACTTACATTTCAATAAGATTTACTAATAAGCCATTATAATTTGCTGTGAAAGTTTTTAGCAAAGTAGCAAAGTTCTTTTTAAGCATTATAAAGTATGACCTTTCTTAAGTTCTTTAGTTTTCTTGGACTAGCGCTCTTAAATCATCTAAGATTTGTCTTAGAAAAGCTCTTCTTCGTCTTAAAGTTAGGACTAAGATTAGGAAAGAAGTCTCCTGTGATAGGATAGCTTCGTTGACCTCACTTAGGACTAAGATATGTCGCAAGTTCGTCTTGAGAGATGTCTTAGTCCTAAGATAGCTTCATAAGCATGCCTGCAGTTCTTTAAGGACAGTTCTTGCTTAGATTGAAAAGAGAGTTGCAGGAAAGTCCCTTCTTTTTGTTAGTTTATTTTGACAAGATACAATTACATGGACATTTTACTGTAGAATATGAAAGATTATACATTATCTCCACGTGTTTTAATATCATTACAATACGTAGCAATATTTTGAATTGCTACTTGTGTTTTAGGCAGTACTTCGTAACCTTGGAAACAGAACTCTACCTAACGCTACAATGGAGACCCCTCACATGGTAGCGGTCTATCTCACAACTAAGAAACAGATGATGCAAGACCATGGCGAGAAATGCTTAGTGCCTACCTACACAATTGTCGACCAACTCATCGGGCAAATTGCCATTACAGATGGTAAACCAGACGAGCACTCTTTTTGTTTAAACTAATAATAGTAATTGATATATATGTTCATATTTGATGTACAAGGAATCGGAGAAGCGGGATAGTTAAAATCCACGAATTGGTAAAACATTTCTTTAGGTCTATAAATTTCGACATGGTATTATTACAAAGGTATGTAGACAAAGCAACCGCGCACTTATCAACATTGCACATGTGGTACCTAATCTTACTTAAACTGTTAAACACCAATTTGTTACCATAAAAATATTTTTTTTTATTTTTGTTATCTTTAACAAAAGAAGAAGATATCAGTGACGCTTACCTGTACTGGTATGTACCAGGATATATCCTCTTATCACATATTTATTTGTAAGTAGCCGGGATATATTCGCTAATGTTTTGTGGATGGAACCGAAATGTTTCCGCAACTACAATGTTTATAGGTACGCTACTTAGCCTGGATGTACCTGGGTATCCACGACTCAATGTTTCTGTACCGGTCTTGTAGAATAGGCTTTCCCCTCTAAAATCTTTGAAGTTTCCCCTCCGAAAAATTAGCTCTAGAGTAGGATTTCCCCTTGGAAAATAAGCTCTAGAGTACGATTTCCCCTACGAAAATCCCACACCAGATTCTATTTTCCGGGGTGGGGGGGGGGGTGGGGGGTACTACTCAAATAACTAAAAGTGACCTGATATAATTTTAAATTCGTGAGATTCGTACCTCTTCACCTAGAGAGGGTGTTGAGACATCGAATCTTACAAATGTTTGAGTGACTAATTTTACAATTTCCCACGAGTTAAAATTTTGGGTTGAGACTCAATGGTTTGAACTACATGTATATATTATATATATGTATATTAAGATTTCATACTAGATTCGACAGTTCTTGAGTCGAAACACTCATATTTCCATAAAAGAATCAGTTGACTTTCATATAAACTTTTAGCCAAATATCGCACTTTCCTTGGTTGATTGCCGGCTATATTTTTATGTTCTATAGAAGAGAATTAATACCTGGCAGCATGGCCGACGCGTTGCTTTTACATTTCCTTATTAGTCGAGGTTTTGGACACTTCTAGGCTTAACAGAATGAAAATAATTTTGTTTTATTCAATCATCTTGATCACCGCTTCTCATAAATTGTCTTCCAGCAATTAAGCCGGGAAAAGAATTCAACATAGTTCCTCACTTCCATGGACACTATATTCCTGAAAAATCTTCAGTCTGCGGTAAAGACATTTTCATATATACACTTTTTTTGTCTTGAAATTTTAACCTTTTCTTTTTACTTGAAGCAGCTTTACATTGTTGATTTTGTGTCTGCATTATGTCTGTCCATGTCTATACATAGGAGATGCAGAATTGGTCATCTTTTACGATCCTCTAAAGATAAACAACGACGATGATGAATGCAATGATTTTACAACAGTGCCAGTTCATGTCACGTGCTCAAGTTGTAAGAGTAACAAAAAGAAACCATCAACAACAAACAAACAAACAAACAAAAATAAAAACAAAACAAATTTTTATAGTTATCCTCTTTGTGTTTACACGAAATAAAAGTCGATTTCTTTTCCTAGATGACAAAATGGATGACTGTGTGTTGTGTCCAAATCCCATTGATACGAAAACATGGGCATTATTTAGCAACATGACATTCTATGAGTATAATGTGAGTACAAATAAACATGACATTTTTATGAATATGATGTTAATCAATTAACTATTTGCAGTTTTCCCTTGCATAACATGTTATGTAGTACATTTCATGTTACTGTCTGAAGTTAATCGGTGACACTATTAAGGTCTTATTTTCGTTCTATTTATTTATAAGAGCATGGACGAGGAATGGAAGGGGACTGAACTGCGTATGATGAGCATGGATACTAAAGAAGACCTGGTCCATGCTGGAATGTCTCAACTCATGCAGCGCCATCTGTCCGGACTCTACTCACAACCACATATAGGACTTTGTATGTTTGTTGGCCGAGCAGAAAAAGATACAATGATGAAAATACAGAAAATGGAGGTACATGAGCCAAGGACTTTGGATGGACTTGAGGACAGATTACAATGGATAATGAATGCAATGCAAACTTACAAAGACGTGAGTTCTGAAATGGAATCCTTGCAGATGTGGGGGGACTCCCAATCAGATCCAGTCAACAAATCACTCATTACAGGATCTTATACTGGTCTTGCTATGATCCAAAGCATAAATTTATTGATAATGAAATCCCAGTTTATGGTTGAACAGTTTCCTGCAAATACGACACGATTAATATACGGTCAGATGCTAAGAGGTCTTGCACAAATCAACCATATGGGTGAGATGTATCCAATGTTGACTAATATGTATGGTATGGAGGTACTAAAGTATGCTCAAGCGGCCCGACTTTTAACCTTTTACCTTCACCAGAAAAACATTCTACCTGAAAATATAGCACATTCATTAATGAAGTTGACAAAATACTTGGTGAACAAGCACAGTGAGCCCATGTCAAATGATACCGGAAGCAGTTCTTGGCAGATACCCTCCATGGTCTCCTGTCCTTTTGAACAACAGGTCAACTATGTAACTAAGGCCATCCTGACGTTTGCCAATGGATGGGATGGAGAGGAGATGACACAGACGACGCAAATGAAAGAGAAACTAAAAATGGGGATGTGCAGCGGTAACATACTCCGAGTCTTCTTGCTTAAGGGTGGTCATAAAGTAGTCAGGAAAGCGTATCTCCGTAAATATCTTATGGAAAAGGGGATGAAACTAGGTATGTCTGAAACTACATTTTTGATATATAACTTTTTTATCTGACAGCAAGATCGTACTATTTTTGTGCCCCCCCCCCCCTGAAAAGGGGGTATATTGCTTTGCACCTGTCGGTCTGTCCGACTCGGTATATGTCGGTCGGTAGATCAAATGTTGACCTTCAGTATCTTGAAAACCCTTTGATTGACAGTCATCAAATTTGGTACACTGGTACCCCTTGAAGAGTAGATAACCCTAATGATTTTGAGGTCACAAGGTCAAAAGTCGGGGTCAGAGTGCTCTACTGAGACAAGATGTTGTCCATTCAATGGCTTGAGAATCATTTGCTTGACAGAAATCAAACTTGGTACATTGATTTCCCTTAAAGAATAGATGACTCCTATTGATTTTGAGATCACAAGGTTAAAGGTCTTGATCAAACTGGCGCTAGGAAGATATCAACCACTTAATCTTGAGAACCTTTTGGTTGATAGACATCAAATTTAATACACTGGTAGTCTCTCTAAGAGAGGTCTGGTAGAGATCAAACTTTGTATTATGCTTGCCCCTGACTAGTAGATGACCAATTATTTTCACAATCATTACAGACATTCATAATTTAAAGTAGCTCCCTTTTAAATGTTTCCACATGACATACATTTCTCAAACATTTCTTGTTTAATTTTTCCTCTATCCTGAATTATGCACATGTTGTTGGTTTAAAGTCGGCAAAAATTTATTGTAGATGATTTAAAGAAGATTCCGAAAAAATGCCGGCGAAGTCCATTGGAGCCATATGATGCACCTCTCGAACATTACATTGGTAGGTACTATCGAAGAATCGTCACTATTTCAGAACCGAAAATTATTCCGAGACATTCTTTCAAGGTACTCGCCCGCGTGGCGTAGTGGTTAGAGCGTTTGCTCTAGAGTCGCGGTGTGAGGAGTAGATCCTTACGTTGCGGGTTCAAATCCACTGCGGGACGTGGAGACGGTCCTTCGGAGGAGACCGTATAAACCAAGGTCCCGTTCGCAGTAGGTGCTGGCACGAAAAAGATCCCTCACTGCTCAATGGCTCTGAGTGCTGAGTATAGGTCAAAATTTGCAACCCTCCACCGGCAAGTGGTGGCTTCTCCATATGAGTGAAAAATTCTCGAGAGGGACGTTAAACAACAAACAAACAAACAAACAAAATCTTTCAAGGTACAATGTAGGCCTAGCCTAAATTATTCGTCCATTTTCTTCTTTCAGTAAACGATGATGGTAAAATAATGAAAGGTGCACATAATCCAATACAACAAGTCTTTACACACAAAGTTATAGCCACATGTCATTGCAAGGACACTTGCACTGACAATGCTATGGGTGGATCTACAAGCATGGGTGGCGGCTATCCAGAAATGGGTGGATCTAATGGCATGTGGACGACAGCTTCTCCGTCGTGGATGCAAAACGATATGTGGGGCACCACTCTCCCTTCGTGGGTGACATCTAGTCCAATGATTATGCGGAATAATCGCCCTCCCACACCGCCAATGAATTAACTATGAAGAGTTTGTGGATATTCCTCTTTATTTTATTGTACATGTATATTCCTTGTTATAGTCCTATTCCCTGTTGAGGAGATTTGTCTGATGTAAAGCAGGGAAATTTCTTCTTTGCTGACATACCCAGACAAAAAAAATAAATAAATTACGCGTCATTTCCCATTTCATATCGTATAAATTTAGAGCGTTGGCCAAGATTTTGCGGAAAGATATTAAGAAGTTTGTGTCAAAGTTCATCTCGAATGTTGTAATATAAAAATTATTATACAAATATAAAAATATTATATTTTTGTTTATGTCAAAATTTAGTAGAATTAATATGAAAGTGTCTTGTGAAGATATTGGAATTTAGATTGTTGTAAAACCCCATCCCCATGCGTAGTTCTCTTATTAAAATATTTCGTTAAATATTTCCCTCATTTATTCATTGTACAATTAAATGGATTGGAACGTCTCGGATAATTGATGTTGTAATTTCTGTGAGAAGTTAGGTGGAAACTAAATTGATTTTGTAATAAGATTATGGACCCGACTGAGCCTGGACATAGCTATTTTATAGGGTCGATACATGTTACTAAGACTACGTATAAAGGGGTCTGATCACAGATTTTCTAAAATTTTCAGTATAATATCAAGACATATGTTTCTAGAGCATTTCAGACAAAGATATAAAAAGGGTGTCTAGAAACTTCTTTTATCTGGAAATCATTAAAACTAATTTCGGGACGCGTTTGATTGACACACATACTTGTACTTTCACGTAGTATATTTTATCCTTAATATTTTAGAAATTTGGAAATTTGTTGTGTATTAATGAAAAATATTAAAACTATAATCCAGAAAATTTATAGTAGAAAGGTGAGAAAGCAAAATCAACTCACCAGTGTTGTCAGTCCGTGGTTACAAACGCAGGTGTTTGACACGATGTTATGAAGCATGTTTTTGTCTCTGAATTTTAAGATTTTTCTGGTAAGTTCAATTCATTAAACTGCTGTTATTTTTTAAATAAAAATAGAAATTTAAAGTTGTAAACAAAAACGAAAATGCAACTGTGTCCAGACCCCTTTAAGTCGGAGGATTTATGAATGTTAAAACATTCATGCATATATATTATAATATTTTTTTTGCATTTCAATGTGCTATAAATCACACAAGTAGCATATAAAAAGATAGAAATATTCAATGAAGTATTTCATTGTTGTTGACATAAAAATGCAATTAATTTGCAAGAGTTAAAAAAGAAATCAATGGGAGAAAAAAAACTTCATTTTTAGTGCATGCTTTTTGCAAATTAATTAATCCACTGTAGAGATGACTAGCTTGGATAAAGCTTCATAAAATCAAATGATATATACCATTTGTAGGAGTCATGTTATACTAGTATTTATCAAGTATATCTCGGTTTATAGATGCAACTGCATGTACATCTATATTGTTTATAACGAGAATCAAATTTCGATATGAATTTGTATTTTTAATAAAATGTTGTAAAATACCAGTGTGTCTTGATTATTTCTGGTCAAACTTGTAATATTAGGCACAAGTGTAATACAGTTGTTAATTTGATCAATTCATCAAACCTAGCGATTTGTTAAATTCGTTGTATCCCATTTTTATTGTTAAATAAATAATTGTGGCTGCTGGAGTTGTTAGGCCTAGTGACAAAAAGGGGGTGTTACCATACTCCCTGGGTTTATCCGACTTATTTCTCATAAATTATTTTTCTAATCTATGACATATATTCTATGACATATTCACGAAGTATTTAGTTCATAGCTTCTAAATTCCTGACTTTCCCAAATCTTCGCTTTATATACCCTTTGGTTTGGCTAGTCCATTCCAAGGTTATCAGGTCATTCCATTATTTGAGGTTATTCGACCCCCTCTTGCGGCCCCGCCCTACCCCTCGGGGTCATGATATGAAGACACTTGAATGTATAGTATGTAATGAAGCTTTCACACAAGTCTCATCTTTTCCTGCCCAGTGGTTCTTGAGAAGATTTTTAAATGATGCCACCAAATGTTCACGAATTCTTAATTATCTCCCCTTGAAAGAGGATGCGGCACTTCCTATGAACAAACTTAAATCCCCTTCACCCAAGGATGCTTTGTGGCAAGTTTGGTTGAATTTGGCTAGGTGGTTCTTGAGAAAGTTGAAAGTGTGAAAAAGTTTAAGGACTACAGACGACAGACGGACGCCGGACACTCTTTGATCAGAAAAGCTCACTTGATCCTTCGGCTCAGGTGAGCTAAAAAGTCTCATATCTCTGTTTTTGGCCTCATGGATATACCCAAGGGCCATAAGAGACTCAGAGTCTGGCTTAAAGTGTAAGCTATCTTTGAATCTCATTGGAAACAATTGGCCACATCATGAAATTTGCAATATGTTTATTACTAATGCCCTGACAATTTTCAGTAAGACATCTCGAAACATTCTATCACTATACAACCCGGGAGTGGGAATACCAAGTTACAACGCAAGGGAGTGAGGATGATCGAAGCTAAATCTCGCTTCCTCGTCCTAAAAAGCGAGGGACAATACACCATAATTTAAAAGCGAGCTGGTGGTCCAAACTACACCATAATATATTATGAAATGTTAGTTTGGCATAGGCGTCGGAAGCAAATTGAAAGTGGGGGGGGGGGGGCTAAACCAGCGAAAAAAGGTAAGCCCCAATTTTCAATGCCTATATTATGTCTATCTTTGCAAAAAAGTGGGAGGGGGCTAAGCCCCCCTCCTAGCCCCCCCCCCCCCGGTTCCGACGCCTATGTTTGGGGTTGTTGAAAGAGTAGATTTAATTAATTTTATAGGAAAATTGTAATTATTATTTAATGCTGATGTTGTAAAGTACACCTTCAGTAACCCCCCCCCCCCCCAACACATGAATGTTTACTATTACTAAATACTATGGCTTCCCTCTATGTTTATTATGCAGAATAAATAATACATGCATATTATCCCCCATTAGAAAAGTTTTACTATCTACATGTACTAAATTTTTCGGTGGTGATTTACTATCGGGGAGGATTTTCGATATACATGTATGACACCATTTTGCAAAAACTGAAAAAATGCATATTGTTAAAAACATCCTGATGAACATCTTTTGTTCAAATGCTGTTTTACAAAATATTTCTGCTTTTCGAGATACAAAGTGTTAAAGATTTAGCATTCCGGCCCCTTATGTCCCCTAAAATTAAGTAACAAATGATCAATATATCACTGTCTGTAGTTGCAGATTGTTAAGATGAGCATTTTTGCAACAGTAATGTATAACAAAGTATTGATCAAGAAAACCTGTAGCTTAGACTTTCGGTCTTTATTTGAGGGATTAACCACCTTTTTCTTGATATCAGATAAACAATTGCGTTCAACAACTATTCTTTTACGTTTCGAGATAATTATGTACATAAAAAAGAAATATTTTTGGCCCAGCCCTTCAAGTCCTTAATCGGAATGTTTCGCAAACATTGAACAAGTAAGCCCTGAAAGGATACACCTACCGTAGCCCATGTTCAGGTCAAGAAAATGACCCTCATATCTTTGATTAAGTAACCCATACACTATACACCTACAAGTTTACCTTGCCTGATATATTGCATATTGTTAAGAACATTAATCTGAACATCTTCGCTTTTCAGAATGTTTCTCCTTTTCGAAATATAAAGCGTCAAAGATTAAGCATTTTGGCCTCTTATGCCCCTATAATTACGTAACGTAGGATCAGAAATTATTATATAGTTGCAGATTGTTTAAATCAGCCACTGTTATGTAAAACAAAATACTGATCGTGAAAAGGTTATAAATTAAAGAATTTCAGTGTTTATGCAAATTATCACGTGAACAAACACTCTTCTACGATAAACTACAAGTCTGATTTTCATAAGATTGGGGGAAGGGTGGGGGGCGATAGAAGTGGCCTTTTAGTCGACAGTTTTATAAAGGAATAGTAGATATATATCCAAGAGAGTTATCTCTCTTACCAGATGGTAAATGAACTTTAAATTAAGTGCAAAGTGAAATAGAGCGTACGTTACATACTGGTAAACGGTGCAAATTAAAAAAATTTCTCTTTTTTTGGAACAAGATTATTAAGATTGTTGAACGTATTCTTACAAAGCTGAAGAAACGCTGGTAACTAATGAGCAGAATCATAAATCTTTTTCTCCAATACAAGTGCTAGATTCTTTATGGGAAGAAATATTAAAACAGATTTTTCATAAGTACGGAAGAAATATTAAAGCAGATTTTACCCATCTATCCATATATATAAATATGTGCCTGTCAATCACAATTCAGTACACATGAATTTTTACTACATGTCTATCTAAAGGAGGAAAACTGTATTCCGGAGTAAACAACACTCTTTCCAACATATTGAAACCAAGTCCAAAAGACTGATAAATAATGTTGAAGTAATGAGAAAACAAACCTCTGGACAAGGAATTGTCTTCATTAAACACACATTACTCAAGACTTCTTTGTTAGCAAAATATAAATCAAATGTTTTTAAAAAAAATGTATATTTTCCTAATAAAATGTCACAATCTTCCTCTCTGACCCTGACCTTTGAGGCATAAAATTTGTTCAAGGTCAATCCACATTTTACCCTAGCACACTCTTTTGACGAATGATACTGGACCTCAAGGAAAGGCAATACAACCTAAACAGGGAATCACACAAACTTTTATAATGATCTAACTTACAAAATCTTAGTTGAAGGTCACTGCACATCCTCTACCCAAGGACACTGGGGAAAGTATGAAATACATGTGCACTGGAATATTGGTATATGTATTCCAGATAAAGAAATTACACAATCTCAGGGCGAGATAGCTTTTTTTAATAGAAAAAAAATTCTGGTCAGTTGGGCCAAATTCAATTTTGCAGACCAAATGCGTGTATATATAATAATAATTATTATAATAATATACTTGTTTGAGTGCTTTAATGTGACTTAAAACTAAAATTGCTGGTCTAATAGATAAAACACTGATCAAAGTTCACCATTTACCGAGTCATATTACTAAGTCAGCATATGAAATGTTTGTTGGGCAGAAAGATAGACTTGTCAATTTTAAGTTCCTACACAGAGCAATCATAAATGCTCCCATTTTACATCCATAATCAATTTAACTACAACAAAAGTCTAAAAACACAAGATAACATACATTCAGAATTTACTCAATATATAGAACAATGATCCAGTCAACATCTTTATAAACAAAAACAAAACATATAATTTTCGTTTAGCCTTTTTCAAACATTACAAGGTTTTCATTCATTACAGTTTCATATTCTCAATGTAAATATATTAAGTATAAAGTGACAAATTCTCATAGCAACAAATGGAATTTTGTCTTGGTGAATAACAACTTTGAAGTATAATGATGAGATGTCAATATTTATAGGATTACAAAAATGAATTAGAATGGAAAGGACTAGACATCCACGATTAATTTGGCAGGGGAAATGTCCCCCAAACTAGAAACGGGCATTTTAAGCTGGAGCTAGAGCTTTTGAAAGCAAAGTACATGTACTGTTTCTTTCAAAAAGTATACAGAAACATAAGTATACAATGTAATATCTAAAACACAAATCTTACACTACAATACAATAATTCTATTCTATTACATAAGAATAAATAAATAGTTCATTTGTAACGATATCTTCTGAAAATCCCGAAAACTCTATTCCTAACAATTTTTCAGACATATCGCTTTGCATTGCATTCTATTGAGTAATGATGTACACAAAAAAAATGACATGTGAGAATGAAACAGTAATCTTAGTGCAAATGTGCTTTAATACATGTTTTATGCTTTTAAAAGTCTACAAGTAATTCCCTAGTGCATAAAAAAAGATGACATGTATAATGATGATTTACAATGATTTTCTACCTGAACAACAAAAGTCTTCATATTAATCTTATATATTCAGAAACCTGATCTAAGTACAAAAATTTATCCTAGCACTTAAGATCTTTTTTTTTTGTTTTGCTCTGGAACATATGAATCCACAACACAGAGAACATCAAGAACCTCATGGGTGTACATTTTTTTTTTTTTGCATGGATAATAGATATATTAAAACACAGTATGAGTGAACATTGGCACAACAGAATCACAGGTCTATTAGGTTGCAGTTAATCAATGTTTATGAAATAATATTTACATGTAAATGTTCAGTATACATTTCAGTGTTCAAAAAATAGGTAAATAATAGTGGAAAATGAATTAAAACTTCCTTCTTTCAAAACAAAGTCAAGCAGAAATGAAATAAAACAAGACATGGTTTCAGGTGACTGTGCATCCTATAAACTCATGAAAACAAAAATGTTTAGAAAATGTAAGTATTAAGCCATATACTGCCTGATATAATAATCTACAAATATTGTAATCCAACTTGTATATGCAAATGAGAAATATCCAAGAGTTATATTTGCAAGAGAGAAATATTAGAGAGTTTTCCTAAATTCTTTTACTTATGAATAATTTATTGCCATGAACCATTTATGTACAATGTTTCTTACTCAGTCACAAAACTTTAGCGGTGGATGGATTTCAAACTGATAAATCACAAATAAAATTGTTGCGAATTATAGTTGATTTACAGTATTCATGATTGTAAGAAAAATCAACACTGAATTCAAACTGATGAGGTTTTTTTTTTAATTTCTTTTTTTTTAACTCTAATATTTACTACTAAACAAAACTATAACACTCTCTCATTAAAGGCAGTAGGAAGCTATTTCAGTTTCAGGGGGCACAACCTAACATAAAATTCTTAAAAAGCAAAAAAGAGGGGCATCAGATGTTCTTCAAGAGGCCCACAAATAAATAAGCATTGTTTTTTTTAATGTATTTGTACATACTAGTGAAATTACTGAGGGGATACAACTGTAAATTAGCCTCATTTTCAATTAATAGTAAACTATACACTGGCAAAATTATTGCTCCCCCCTTTTCCTAAAGGCCTATATTATTTTATTTTTACCCAGTCCTTTCAATCACACTAGCAAAAATTCAAAGCAAAATGATGAAACATGATGTAACATGTTTAAAATTAAAACAAAATTATCACAGATAACCACTAATTCTTGATGCCCACTCTACAACATGGCACAAACTCTTTTTGTTCAAGAGACCTGGAATATCTTGTAGGAATGTTAAACATTCTTACTGATCACTACACATTCTCTAGTGTTTTTCTCCATTATCTACAGGTTGGGGCTGATCTGGAAAGAAATACTTTTAATAGTATTATTTTGAATCATTTTTCTCATCTGTTTTTTATAGAGCAAAATAATATTTTTAACATTAATATATTTCAATTAATTATGTAAAAAGAGGTCTTATCTCTGTTCAAGCATAAAAAGAAGACACATCCCTGTTAATGCATGTGAATATTTTCTTATACTTCTATAATTATATAGTAATAATGTATCCAGTAAATTTCTCTGAATATTTTATAAGGTTACTTTACCTCTCACTACATGTGATACTAATTAACCTTTCTCAGTTTTTTTTTTATTTATACTTATATGTATGTCTGCATTTCCTTTCTTCCAAATTAAATACATGTATATACAGCAATAAATGCATGACAAGCATTTGTACTTTGTTTTTACTTTATAATTGGAACTATACCTTTAGGCCAGGGCTGAAACCCAAGGGCTACAGCCAGTTCATCTATACTGTACAGTCCATCATGATTAAAGTCAAATTTCTCAAGCTGTTGTGGTAAGGGGGGATCAGGCATGTAATCTTTAAGATCATCTGCATCAACAAGTCCATCTCCATTTTTGTCCCAGCGACGAACACCTAAGTCTAAGTCTGTAACATATATGTGATCAAAAATTACAAAGCTCACTCAACAAATGTTTTCCATTAGTAAGGCAAAATCTCACAACAAATGAATGTTCCAGTAGTGAGCATTGCTAGATGCAACATCTATGCAAGATTGGCCTGGGTAGGATACTAAGGAGTGGCTCTGTTTCAAAAATTTTAACTGTTTAATCACCCTGAAAAATGTACAGTGAGTCAAATCCAAAAAGTCCAAAGCATTTATGGAGTTTGCATCCCTAGATGCATCATCCATGCATGTTTTGTAACCATACAGCTTATAGTTAGTTTGGAATGGACCTGCTCCAAAAACTTTATCATGGTCACTTATCTGGAAAATGTAGGTCAGATTCTGAATTCAAAGCAAATCCATCAACTATGTAAGAAAGTCATCATAGGGCTTATAGCTACTTGAGAATGAGATTGATGAACTTTAACCTGCCCCAAAAACTTTAACATGTTTCAAAAACATTAACCTGGTCATTTTTCTGGAAACTATTGGCTGAAAATTCTTCTAGAAAATATTGGCCTGACTGGTACAATGAAACATATTAGATGCATCATCCATGCAACTCTAATCAATATAAGGCATAAAATTAATTATAAATAAATTTGTTCCAAGAACTTAAACCTGGGAGGCCTTTGCTGCTGGAAAATTAAATAAAACCCTCATTTTTATTTAATTTTCCTGATCAGCATTATTTTCTTAAAAGATGCATTAGATTGAAGTTTTCTTTGGAGAAGCAAAAAAAGAGATTTTTTTTCTCATAAAATCAAAATATTTTACTTACCATCGTATGTTTTCACAAGGGTCATATCAATAAACTTATGTAATGGTGCTGCAAAGAAAATATAGATTTATGTTAATTCTACTTTCATGTACAACACAAAAGTATACAGAAGCACTTTGAATATCTTATATCTACACTATATGAGTTTGTTTGAATGATTAGTTGAAATGCTATTTTATGCCAGAGAAAAATACATTTTTTAAAGGTGCTTGGACACAGATTTAAAGTTAATATTTTCTCAAATTTTCTGTATAATTTCATGACTTATATGTTGCTATAGCATTTCATACTAAAATATAATAAAAATCTTATTTCATCTCGTAGTTCTTGAAACTTCAAATTTCTGAACGCGTTTGATTGACTCATCCTTGCACTTTCACAAATTTTAATTTTATTCTTAATACTTAAGAAAAGTGGCAATTTTGTTGTGTATTAATGAAAAATATTAAAACTATAATCCGGAAAATTCAGAGTAGAAATGTTCAAAAGCAAAACCCACTCACAGTATTGTCAGTCCGTGCTCAGTGGTGTGTGCAGACTTTAACATTTGAACACACCCGGTGAATCGTAAACATTAACAATAACAGAGCTTGTGCCCTGTTTACAAAAACAGTTTACATTTCACAGATGTATTCAATTTGTTAAACTCTGTACACAACACTGAGCACGGGCTGACGATATTAGTGAGAGGTTTGCTTTCGCACATTTCTACTCTGAATTTTCTGGATTATAGATGTAATGTTTTTCATTAATACACAACAAAATCGCTTCTTTTCTTAAATGTTAAGGATAAAGATAAAATTTTATGAAAGTGCAAGGATGTGTTAATCAAACGTGTCCAGGAATTCGTAGTTCCAATAATTTCCAGATAAATAAGTTTTTAATTATATTTTCGTGTGAAATGCTATTGCAATATATAAGTCGTGATATTATACAGAAAATTTGAGAAAATATTAACTTCAAATCTGTGTCTAAGCACCTTTAAGTTCTTCCCATATAAATTTTCTTATTTCAAATACTAGACCCATAATTGATAATGATAGAACTGATAATTACCCTGCCCCTACAAAGTGAGGTAGAAGGATGTGGGGGTTGGGATATGATGTGAACAAATTACATTAGGATGCTTGAAAATCAAACTGAACTTGAGGTACTGTGAGTGAGCTCACAAAATAATACCCCCTGCTGCAATTTTTTTACTGCTCATTCCAATTTTGTAAATGTGACCTTGAACTTGCCAAAAAGACCTTGGTTAAAAAAAATTGACACATCCTCTGGTCATTAGAAATCTTTCAGTAAAATATGGACATGCAATATTTCTCCATCAGAAACTTCTTCTGCCACTGACATTGAACTTGCCATAACAACATTAGGTCAAGGTCAGGACACACTTGGAACATAAGCAATATCTGTTCCAAGTAGGAGCTTCCAGTGGTTCTCCATTACAAAGTCAAAGTTATAGCTTGCTGGAATGACCATGACAAACCCTCGGGTCATAAGCAATCTTTATACCTAGTATGAGCTTCATATGTTTCTCCATTAGAAAGTTATAGCCCGCACAAGATTGCATGAACAGACGAATGGATGGACAAGGTGATTCCTATATACCTCCCAAAACTTCGTTTGTGGGGCATATAAAAACATGTCCAAGGGCTTCATTGGCAACCTGACTTTCATGCAGAAACTCTGTAAAGCAGATTTTATTATTTTCTTCATATGCATCTTTGTAAGCCTTAATTGTTTCAATTTAACAACCTTAAATTTACTTTATCAACATGCCTGCAAATATTTATTTTATCCCCTCAAATTCACACTGTATACACCATATTTTAATCAAAAGAACTGAGGTGAGCTAATAAATGTACAGGAAGAAGTGAGTTTTGTAGTATGCTCTTACCTGGGGGGATTGAAGATACACTCCTGGTGGTAGATTTGTCAGAATCTCCTCCTAAAAAAAATTAGCTACATGTATTTCTTAAATTCAAACGAGACACTTTTGCCACTTTTTTCTTGGCATCTGTATCTGTCTTTTCATATTTTTTTCTCTGAAAACTAATCCCATTACCTGAATCCTTGTCTTTGACATCTACAGTCAACTGTGCTTTGCTGGTGAGGTTCTCCTCATCCCAAACTTGAAGTTCAAACACATATTGCCCAGCAACAATGTGGCCAGTCGCTGTGGTTATAGCCTCATCTTGTTGGGTAATTTTTAAGGATGTTGGCCCACTAAGAAATGAATTACAAGTTTAAAGTACTACATCTATGTATACAGGACTATGATAGACTTTTCCAAGTTCCACTTATCTATTTTAAGCACAAATTCATGGGAGAAAATTGGATGCTGTGTAATACATAACCACTGTATCAATACTGATATGCTTTGTATAGGTTTGGGAATTAAAGTTATCACTACCGGTACTTTTAATCTCTCAAGTCCATAATAAATACCAATATGCTTTGAATAGGTTCAGAAAATGAAACTTACCATTGCTTTATTTCACCAAAAAATGTCCTTACCTAATTTGTTCCCAGTGATATAGCATGATATTTTTATCATCAGTGCTGTTAACTCCACTAAGCACTATCTCATTTACTGGCAATGTAACTGTAACTTGTCCATCTGTTATTGCCTGTGGAGACTTATTTCCCAAACCCTCTGATTTTTTTTCATCAGGATTTGGAGCTACAGTAGTTGAAATGGGTAATTTTTTAGTTGTCACTGCTTCTGGTTGCAGTTTTGCACTGGAAGTAGCTGTTGTTTTTATTTCATGATTAGCTGGAATAGTTGTTGTCATCTGGCCTGTAATAAAATCTTTTTAATAACTATTTAAATATTTTACCATAAAATAAATGAAACTTTGCATTGTGATCTGAAATCTCTCAACATCTTAACAGCTGGAAAAAGGTCCATTCTACTGTCATACAGAAACTGTGAAGTGATATAGTATTCCTCCGTTTTTTAACCAAGAACATAATGTACATCCCTCCCTCCCACAATTACAATTCACAGTTTCCTAGACTTCTATGCAGTGTTGCCGTAAGAATATTAAATGAATAAAACCACTAACCAGAAGTCTCTGATGAGACTGTAGCTCTACTGGTCTGTTTGTATAACAAAAGAAAAGTAGCACTTGGATTTGAAACATTGCAACAGGCAACAATAAATAGAATTATGTATCTTAATGTAGTCTACTTCTGTGCCAAGTTATACTGAAATCAAATGAAAACTGTAGGAGGAGTAGCGTTTTGAAAGTATTTCAGGGAAATTTCTATTTTTAGTAACCATGACAACACCATTCACCCAAATAAAAAAAAAACAGAAATACATATTATGTATTGTAGTGTATTCTAACTGTGTGCCAAATTAGATTGAAATCCGACCAAAATTGTAGGAGGAGTAACGTTTAATGGAAATTTCACAAAAATTTCTATTTTAAGTAACCATGGAAACACTGTTCATTGAATTCAAAAACCAATGCAATAAATTATGTATCTTAGTATAGTCTTCTTGTATGCCTAATTATATTAAAAGCAGACTAAAACTGTAGCAGGAGTAGTGTTTTAAAGGAATTTCACAGAAATTTCTATTTTTAGTAACTATGGCAACACCGTCCATTGAATTCAAAAACCGATGCAATAAATTATGTATCTTAGTGTAATCTACTTGTAAGCCAAGTTATATTGAAATCGGACCAAAACTGTAGGAGAAGTAGCGTTTTAAAGGAATTTCACAGAAATTTCTATTTTTAGTAACCATGGCAACACTGTCCATCGAAATCAAAAACTGATGCACTAAATTATGTATCTTAGTGTAGTCTACTTGTGTGCCAAGTTATATTGAAATCAGACCAAAACTGTAGGAGGAGTAGCGTTTTAAAGGAATTTCACAGAAATTTCTATTTTTAGTAACCATGGCAACACCGTCCATCAAAATCAAAAACCGATGCACTAAATTATGTATCTTAGTGTAGTCTACTTGTGTGCCAAGTTACATTGAAATCAGACCAAAACTGTAGGAGGAGTAGCGTTTTAAAGGAATTTCACAGAAATTTCTATTTTTAGTAACCATGGCAACACCGTCCATCGAAATCAAAAACCGATGCACTAAATTATGTATCTTAGTGTAGTCTACTGGTGTGCCAAGTTATATTGAAATCGGACCAAAACTGTAGGAGGAGTAGCGTTTTGAGTAATTGTTTACAGACAGACGGACAGACAGACAGACAGACAGACGGACGGACGACGGACACCTTACTATCGCATAAGCTCTTCTGGTCTCTGACCAGTAGAGCTAAAAAATAGGATTGACAGTTTATATCAAATATAGTTCTTCATATCAAGATATTACAATATTAAAATTAAGACTATACATATTATATATACATATTATATTCCACACCTTTAAGCATATCTCTGTGGTCTTTGTCCAGTGAGGCAGAGAAATGTTGTAAAACCTCTACTGTCTTGGTGAGTTTAGTCACTGCATTGGACTGCTTGGTTACCTTACTCATTAATGTGTGGAGGTCAGTCTTCAGAACTTCAACAGACTGGTTCAGAGCCTAATTCAGAAAAAGCAGAGCATATTAATATATATATATATATATATATATATATATATATATATATATATATATATATATATATATATATATATATATATATAATACTGAATTATATGCATGTTTTGTACATGTGAATATTTTCACATTTTGAATAACCGATGTAGTAGCAAAAACAATATGCAAGGGATTATTCTGCACTATTTATTGCCTATATTGAATAAAATTCATACAAAAGCAGTAGTACTCTGGGAATAAATATGCACAAAATAACTGATGGTGTATTTGGTCATTTTAATGTACTGTAAACTACCCCACACATGAAAATAAGTGTTGCAAAATGATTGTCAGGTTATTTTTGAAGTATTACATGTATGTATTTTTGCAAGGATTGGCTCATATAGCTTAGGCCCCACCCTTGGGACACATATTTCACAATTTGTTAGTGGACTAAGTGCTCATTAAAACATCACAACACTTTGACTGCTATAGGTCCAGGAGTATATAGATTTTTGAAGATTGCATGAATTTTGATAATTCTGGCCCCCATGAAATTCACAACCTTTCCCCTTCATCCACAGATGTTTCAAACTAAAATTACTTTAAATTGCTTAACCCACTTTCAGCTGAAAATGTTCGAAAGATTATGCATTATAGCAGACGAAAAAGGATACCAGTATGTAACCTGAGTGATTCGGGTGACCTGAAAATACATGTACCTGTAAACTTGTTTTAATAGAATCAGCATCTGTCAAACCAAAGCCATTTTGGGACTCTTTCATCTAGTAATAAAGTACAAAAAAGTGGTTTCAGAAATACTAATAAATAATGAGATGGTTATCATACATGTTTTATTTTATTTGAAACAATCTAACAATTTTTACGGTTCAAATAATTTTAACAGCTAAAATTATATAAAGTTGATTACATGTTATCAAATTTGTAATAGTAAGATACAAATGACAGAATTAGGTGAAGTATATAAATAAACATATATTTAATGTATTCAAATCAATTTTTATTATTATTTACAGACATAAAAGTTGAAAAGAAAAAAAAATCCTAAGACTTTTATTTGAGGTAATCTTACCAATTTGAACTGACTCTTCAGTGTACCAACACTAGCCGTAATGTCATCTATCTTCAGTGATAAGTCATCCAAGGACTTAGAGGGACTTGTCCGATTGGCTAGACCCATGTCCTCTATCTAAACAATTATCAAACCTAACAAGTCAATTTAAGATATTTAGACTTTATGATTTTTCCCCCTTAAAATATATCAGGTTTTCTTTTTAACTTGAATAAGAAGTATCATTCTATCTAGCACTATACATTGCATCTTTTTTTTTTTCCTTCTTTTTCTCAGAAAATTTAAACTTATTCAGCTAATTTGATTTTTAAAAAAATCTACAATAAATCATACTTATATTTTATGCTTTTGACTGCAAAAAAAGATGGGGCAAAATTCCTCTGAATATATATGAAGTATGGATGCTTATTCAGGTGATAAACTTTACGAACCACTTGGTGTATGAGAACCTTTGTCTGCTCAGTTCCTTCCCTTGGACCATCACCCATGTCCTTGTGGTCCTTCATTATGGATGAATGGTCTCCAGTCAAGGAAGTTAAATCTTTCTGTAATTTAGCAGTGATGTTCTGTAGTGCTAGTAAGTAGACCTGGAAAACAACATAATTAATTCATTTAGGCATTGTCCATATTTAATACTTTTAGTATACAATTTCTATGAAGCTGGATTTCAACTTCTTCCCCCTCTCTCACCTCATGACTTGACAGCTTGGACTGAATTTTAGGCAGCTCAGACCATAAAGAGTTATTGACTATCTGAATCATATCTCCTAGTTTTTGTATTTTCTGCAAGAAAGAAGAAAAAAGATATACCTGCAAAAAGCATGCTTACAAGTTTACTAACAATCATTTAGAATGCCCCCCCCCCCCCCCCAATCATAGTTTCTTTTTCTTTTTTTGCACATTATACATGACAACTTATGCATCTTTTTAACAAAGTTGTACTTGTAGTAAAAATTCCAAGTCACCTCTCCTGAGCGCTTGTGTGGGACAAAAAAAATTCAAACGACAGAACAATGACCACTACAATTTTCAAAATAAATAAGCTTTTCTTACATTAAAATTCACACATCTTAAAAACAAATTTTAGCAATCAGTTTATTTTCTAATTATGTGGCTAAACAGTATACTAACTTGAAACTATAACTAAATACATGTAGCTATGACCAAATCATTTCCAGTTCTAATTAGTACTCGTTAAATGTGTCACGGCTCCACATGTAACACATCTACGGACTTAATGCTACAAATTATCCTCTCATTATAGTAGGAATGGGTATCGCCAAAAATTTTGTATCACGATTTTTCAAAAAAATATCAAGATAATTAATATCATGATATTTTTATAAGCACTTTTTACTATGATTTCAAAAGAATTTCCAAATTTTTTTTTCTAACAAATATATAGTGAAAAACCTAATTGCACCTATTTCTTTTTTATCTATTTATTAACAGAGCATGTTTGGATGCTTAGATGTCGTTGTTTTACTGTTTTATATTTTTTGCAATTCTGTTAAGTGTGAATCAAACGTTTGAACGAAATAATTATTTCCGTAATTTGTAATTAAATACTAAATACCGGTATTTTAGTATCCATATCACGATACATATTGCACAATAAAAAAATCATGATATACCAGTATACAAAAAAAAAAAAAAATTGTGCATCCCTACTCATTAGTAAAACTTACAGATGATATATCTGTATTAAGGTCAACATGTGACGACTCTCTGCCACCAGATTCCTGCCCACCACTAGCAGGCTACAAATAATGTACAGCTTTAGAGTAATCATAGTAAATATATTTACCATATATGTAAATTCAGACACAACACATTTTGAAACAAGAGGCCCAAGGGCCTTAACGGTCACCTGAGTATAACACAACAATTTAGAGGATCCATAGAGTATAAAATGAACTGAAAGGTGAAGCTTTGTTGCCCAAAAGCAAGAAAAATAGGGTGTTCAGGATCAACAAAATAATTAGTCTAGTATTCATTAACAGTTCATAAATTAGGTTCTAAACTGTTCCCCATTTATCACTCTCACCAGAGAGTATATTAACAAACTATCAGTGCTTCTGTACTCTTTTAATTCCTTGTGGAAATCTCTTACATTGGCCTGAGTAAGATCCTTGGTCTTTGATGAACATTTAAGGTACTGGTATTCCATCTTTAATAGCCTCAGATTCAATGAATTTGAATACATAACAAATGTGTACGGGTGGAATACTCAGTATATTTAGACATAATCTCCATTTATTACTATTAGCATGTAAGAATGGAACGTGTCCTAATTTATGACTTGACCTTTGTTGAAGAGTTATCTCCCTCTTTTTTTAAGTAATAAAAATCAATTTTAAAAAAAATATACGGTAAAATAATTGTTTTCAATTGTCATTCTATTTCTAATGATTTAAAGCATCTTTCCACCACAGTATTTATTGATACTCTTATTATTTGAATTTTTATTTAAAAAAATCACTTGTCTCCATAGACTTCAACAATTTCTATTAATTAAATACTGCTTAGTTAATTACATTTTTGAAACTTTCACTTGGTAAATCCTTTTCTACTGTAAAGTTTTTTGAATTAATATCAGAGTATTATATACGTGATTGATATTTAAGGATAGAGAATTAGGTCCTATTAGGGATGGAAAACCTTAATAAGACAAGTCTACCTGATCATTAAAACTATGAAAGTACTTTTTGTATTATACAATTAAAAATTCTTGCATAATTCTCTTATTCTATTAACCTTTCAAGTACATTATTTACAGTGATTAATTATCACAAGTAAATGGCAAAGGGGAATAACTCCTCTCAGTAGAATACAAATTAATAGAGCCCTGACCTGGACTAGAACACTTGACCAAATGGTCTTGATGTTCAAAAATCTGGTAAAAATACCCTTCCTTATTAAAACTTTTACTCTTTTTGCCTCTGATATGCCCAAGTGCAGAGAAGATTTTTAAAGCATTAATGCATTTTCACTATATAATAAATAGAGGCCCGCCCTAACATCAGAACCTCTGATCCAGGGGTCACGAAATTCACAATTTTGGAAAATGCATCCTTGCTTAACATAACCATGTATTTGTTTAAATAATACCCAGGAGAAGAGAAGAAGATTTTCAAAGAAATAATGCACTTTCACTATATGATCTATATAGCCCCGCCCTAGCACCAGAACCCCTGACCCTGGGGCTATGAATTTCACAATTTTGGTAGAGTCACTCTTGCTTATCATAACTATGAATTCAATTTGTTTCAATAATACCCAGGAGTAGAGAAGAAGATTTTCAAAGAAATAATGCACTTTCACTATATGATCTATATAGCCCTGCCCTAGGACCAGAACCCCTGACCCTGGAGTCATGAATTTCACAATTTTGGTAGAGGGCTCAATGCTTATTACAATCATGCCAACAGTTTGACTGCTTGATGTCCAGGAGTAAAGAAGAAGATTTTTAAAGAGTGCATTAATTTTGATGGTTTTGGCCCCACCCCTCAGGCCCCAGGGGGGCAGGGGCCACGAATTTCATAATTTTTGTTCCCCTTCACCCATAGATGCTATATGCCAAAATTGGTTGAAATTGGTTCACTGGTTCCAGAGAAGAAGCTGAAAATGTTCAAAAGTTTACGACTGACGGACAACGCACGACGACGGACAAAAAGAGATAGCAATAGGTCACCTGAGTGACTCAGGTGACCTAAAAAAATTAAAATTAGTATTTTGCTAGAAAAAATACTTCTTAAAAGACAAACAAAAAGATTGTTTGGATACACAACATACCTCCTCGTGAAGTTTTATTTCTGCTAACTCTTTTTCAACATTTTTCTTGAAGTTTATCAAGTCATCCACTGTTGACTTCATCGTCTTGACATCAACTCCTAAATTAGCAACAGTCTAAAAAAAAATTCAAAGATCAAGTACTCTTCTTGAATTGAATGTTACATCAGGAAAAGGCAAATAGTTAACTGGAATATGAATATAAAATACTCTACATGTATTTTCACAAGTAAACCATGTACAATAGCTCGAAAATTTTAAGGAAAAAAACTTAAATAACAACATAAAACAAAGTACTGCTTAACTTACTTTTGATATGACTGGAACTTGTGTGGTAAGTGTATTAACTTCATTTACTATCTGTTTACTGCCTGGTTGACTATTTCCAACTGCTGCAACAGCTGTGCTCAATGTGTCCATCTAATTGTTTTTTATTGAGACAAAAATGAAGTAAAAACAATTATTTATTCTAAGTGCAATTATTCAGCAATTAATCTACATGTGGTAAAACAAAAATAAAATGACTGTAGACCTTACTTTACTAGTGAGTGTGATCATGCGCTGTTTAATGGCTTCTATTTCTTGAGGGCTTTTGGTGATGTTGACTAGTGCCTTTTTTATATCATTCTGAATTTGTTGTTGTAAGTCCTCCATAGTGGTTTGTAGACTATGTCCTTTCACTGTAAAACAAAATTCAGAAACTCAACCTTTCTTCCTAAACAATAAATTTCTGTACAAAGAATATCAAATTCAATTTAAAAAGTTGTAACAATTATCTATTCATATCAAATTTTACAATTACATGTATAAAACTGATCACATTCCTTTGAACTTTGTTTTACAATCCCTTATGGTATTTCCAATCATTTTAGATCCCTTCCCCCACCCCTCTTCATTCTCACATTATCAGAATGAAACACTGAAGTATATAAATACAATCTTACATAAAAAAATTCACATTAAAAAAAAAACCAAGAATTGGCATTTGAAAATTTATAAAAAGAAACAAATTTTGTCCAATTAATAATATATACAAGAGGCCCATGGGCCACAACGCTCACCTGAGTAACTTTGGCCCTGCTGTTCTTCACCAGACTTTCCCCCATGTAATACACCTATTGTGGTCCCATCCTATCCCAAGGGTCATGATTTTAACAATTTAGAATCTACACTACCCCAGGATACTTCTACATTAGTTTCAGCTTTTCTGGCCCAGTGGTTCTTGTGAAGAAGATTTTTAAAGATTGTTTCTATATATTTCAATGTAAAACTTGGATTCCCCATTGTGGTCCCGCCCTACCCCCGGGGGTCATGATTTTAACAATTTAGAATCTACACTACCCCAAGATGCTTCCACATTAGTTTCAGCTTTTCTGGCCCAATGGTTCTTGAGAAGAAGATTTTTAAAGATTTTTTCTATATATTTCAATGTAAAACTTGGATTCCCCATTGTGGCCCCGCCCTACTCCCGGGGGTCATGATTTTAACAATTTAGAATCTACACTACCCCAAGATGCTTCCACATTAGTTTCAGCTTTTCTGGCCCAGTGGTTCTTGAGAAGAAGATTTTTAAAGATTTTTTCTATATATTTCAATGTAAAACTTGGATTCCCTATTGTGGCCCCGCCCTACCCCCGGGGGTCATGATTTTAAAAATTTAGAATCTACACTACCCCAGGATGCTTCCACATTAGTTTCAGCTTTTCTGGCCCTGTGGTTCTTGAGAAGAAGATTTTTAAAGATTTTTCCTATATATTTCAATGTAAAACATTGATTCCACATTGTGGCCCCGCCCTACCCCCGGGGGTCATGATTTGAACAATTTAGAATCTACACTACCCCAGGATGCTTCCATATAAGTTTCAGCTTTACTGGCCCTGTGGTTCTTGAGAAGAAGATTTTTTAATGACCCCACCCTATTTTTGTCTTCTCTTGATTACCTCCCCTTGTGAGGGGACTTGGCCCTTCATTTTAACAATTTAAATTCCCCTTCACCCAAGGATGCTTTGTACCAAGTTTGGTCAAAATTGGCCCAGTGGTTCTTGAGAAGAAGTCAAAAATGTGAAAAGTTTACAGACGGACGGACGGACGACGGACAAAATGTGATCAGAAAAGCTCACTTGAGCCTTCGGCTCAGGTGAGCTAAAAAAGCACAAAGATATTACCAACATACAATAACTAAAAATAAAATACAACACAGCAAAACTGACTGCATTAATCAGCAACATGAACAAATAATCACCTGTATTGATCTCCTCCCTGATTTTTTCAACACTTTCTTTCATTTGAAAATGCATGTACAACAATGCACCGGTAAATATGAAACATGTTACAACCATAAAAAATCCAAACACAGACAAACAGGTGGAACAGCATGACACTCGGCCCCTATTGTTTCAACAAGATTTCAAATGAAAAAGTGAGTTTTCAACATTTCATGTTACTGTCCATAACAAAAAGAAATATACTGATATAAAATCAACTTGTCAGGTGTTAATAAAGCAATATGGTCCATAATTACATGTACAATTTGATCAAATTATTATTACCAGTATACTTTTATCAATGTATACAAAAGTTTTCATTCAGATTCTAGAATACTATTTCTCCCTTTTTCTCAGTGGGGACATCATCAAAATCTATTTTGTAATCAATGTAATACATAGAGAAATGTGCAGTACTGTGCATCTGTCATTCTCAGTCACACGCTTGAAATCCATTTAAATGTTTGTACTCCCGGTTCAATTCATAAATAATAAACAAGTTCAATATCTTATGAACAAAGAAGATTCCGTACCTTAGTGACTTCCAAAATGGCTACCCAAGAAAATAATATGCAAACCAAAAATGAATTTTGTAGAAAAGTGGCAGATTTTTTTTTTAAAATAAAAGCGGTGGGTGGGAGATGGAGAAAAAAAGTGGTACAATTCCCGCATAAAATGGTACAGTCAACATGTATGGGCATTTATAAAACCAAATACAAGTCACACATTAAACAAAAGCATAGGTGTTTTGAAAGTTAACATATTTGCCAGAAGTGTCAAATGTCCATAGTATATTTGTATGTAAACATGCTCACGTAGGCCTAATGCATGATTATCTCAAGGGCGTCGGCAAAGGGGCGCGCCCCAATAATTTTGCCCCCCAAAAAATTAATTTTAAATGAGAAATACAGAATAACAAAATTTGTAATGGCGATATCTGTGGTCAATGGAGCAGCAACAATAACGGCAATCTGTGGTCAATGGAGCGGCAAAGTGTAAAAGCTATTTATCAATTGTTTGTTTACAAAGACGCAAATTGGGATGTACCTGTACCTGGCATGTGTAAACAATAATCATGGTATCCATCGCTACTAGCAAGTTTGCAACGAATTTTTCTTCAATCCCATAGCTAGCAACGTTTTTGGAAATTCTATGTTGGGTAGACTTTGGGCGAATTTGTTTCTCAAAAACTGGTTTTAGTTTTGAACCAGTTTTGTAAACTGTTCATTTGTTCCACAAACTGGTTTTAAACTAGTTTAAACCCAGAACCGGTTTTCTATTTGTTTCTGCTGTAACTGAAACCAGTTCGTTAAACCAACCAAACCACCTCCGATGGTGGTTTATTCGGTTTACGAAAGAGCGGGAAGTATTCCAGTATGGCGGTGATGAAAGGTGGTGACTATTTTAATAAAGAAAAAAGTTATAAATGATTGTTTTTTCGAGGACAAACAACTCTTTTTGACTTTAATGCCACATTCTGATGTTTTATAGAAGGCTTCAGAGAATAGATAAATGCTGCATGTTGTAATGGTGTTTGTTCAATGATAATGAACAGAAAATGTTAAATTTTCCTTTTCAAAAATAAGTTTTGAATCATTTGGACAAACTTTTAACATGTATGGTAAATTGTAGAACTTACTGTAAAGACGGTTTTATTGTTTGAAATCTAAAGAGTAGTACATGTATTATAAATACCTGAGTTTTTATATTTCCATGTGTTAAAAATGTGGAAATTGATCATTTGATGAATCTTTGAGGCATTATAAATATAAATACTGCATTTTAAGTAAGATAAACAAGGAAGAAAAAACTATAATTTCTTGGAATCTTTTATAAAGAAAAAGATTTTAACTTTATTTGCATGTGTAATTTGGTTAATATGTTCTAGCTCTTCATATTTCCATTTTTGGATAAAGTATGGTCGCCTTATTTTTAACATATCTGATATGTTTAAAGTCTGTAGTAAACGGTATTTTAAGGTTCCTACATTGTAAATACACATGAAAAACGTCATAAAATTCTTGCTATTCTATCTCTTTTTTTCATCAGCAGCATTATTTCCGCTTTAAATTTCCAATTAACATGATTAATATTAATATAATTAATCATGCATGCATCTTTTAGATGCCATCTTGTATAAACTGTTCATTTGTTTTACCAAGGTAAACCGGATCGAAACTTATAACCAGTTTAAAAACTAGTTTTAAACCTTAAACCAAAACCTGAACTAGTTTAGATGCAACAAATTCGCCCTTTACTTTACCGGTCCCCAGATCCGCAAGATCCGCACGCTCATTGCACTATGACGTAAGATTTACGTCACTCAACTGATTAGGGTTAGTTTTGCACATTTTTCGACTGGTTAGGGTTAGCCTTGCACCCACCTGAAAGATTAGGGTTAGTCCTTGCATAAGTTTTCGACTGATTAGGGTTAGTCTCGCATATATCCGAGAGATTAGGGTTAGTCCTCGCACATGGGTTAGTCTAACATGGTCTAGCATCCGCCTGGGAGATTTGGGTTAGTCCTCGCATACCACCCGAGAGATTAGGGTTAGTGTCTTGTTCTTTTAGATTAATTAAGAAATTCAGTTGCATCTGTATTTTTTGCAAGATCTTAATTCAGCTTCAACGACATCTCGTTGGTTTGTTTACATGAAAAAAATGGCTAAATACGAAAGAAACGGCACTAAGCATGCGCCGCACGCGCTTCGTTCACAATTATTTTTTGTCTTCTTTTCACTGAATAAACAACATTTATTACTTTTTTTCAGAAAACGAGGTTAAAAACTTCGTTTAAAAACGAAGTTTTAAACTAAACTTTTAACCGTAGAATTCGAATTTGGAGCCAAAAAGGCTTAAAACCTCATATTTTTTATTTTTTTCGATCGCTCATGCGATCTCATATATATTGAAGTCGCCTACGGCGACACTATATTTTAGCGCGTTTTTCTGGGGACCGGTAAAGTAAAGTCGTTCCCTATAACAGCAACAAAAAGTGTGTATGAAAGAAGGGCGGACAAGCAGCGTCTAAATGAATGAATTTTTACATAATCAAAACTTGAGCAAAAAGACTATTCTCAGAAAACAAGTGGAGAAAGTGTGGAAAAAAATGGAGCCCCTCCCCCACTTCCTGACACCTTCCCCTGCATATAACAGGCCTGTTCATTGTCTCACCAATCGGTCGATCAGTGTTCTGAAATCTTTGATGAATCGAAGTTGTAAGCTATTAAATTAAAGCAAAATACTAAAATACTGGGTAAATTACTTTTAAAACAACTTCAGTTGATTTTTTTTTAATAATGTCAAACGTATTTCTGCATTTCAAAGATGGAGGTATAATTCCCCTGTTCATTTTAAATTTCATAATTATGCTTCCTTTCAGCAAGTAACAATAATATTATACAATTATAGAAAATTATATGTATTTTAATCTTTACCTCGTCATTAACCTTTCAAAATCAAAGTACTGAAAGTACTCATGGGAGTTGAACATAGTAATGTGAAAGATTTAATAGGAAGTAAAGGAGCTATAGTGTCGGAACATTTTTTCATGCTTTAGATATAAGTCAACTATTGCAGATTTGACAGAGATACATGTACAACACCAAACATTAGAAATAATTTCAAAAACATTTGAATAACGAAGATCATGTGCCACAAAACTCACCTGAGTAACTTTAATGACTTTAACCGTGCTGTTCTTATTCAGATTTTCAAAAACTTTTACCACTTAATATTCCCATGCAGGGACGTAGCATCGTTTTTGAAAGGGGGGGGCTCGAAAATTCTATTTTTCTGGGTGTGGGGATAGGTCTTAAACTTCTTTCAGTATCAAATTTTACTCATACACTACTACATCACCCTTATTTGAATATTCTGCAACAAACGGGGGGGGGGGGGGGCGGACTTTCAATGAACATTTACAATATTAAAATTTTATAAAATTTCATGTTTGGAAAAAAGTGTGGGGGGGGGGGGGGCAGACCCCTCTCCCCTCCCCGATGCTACGTGCCTGTCATGAAAAAAATGTGTCCGCATAAATTAATATGGCGATATCAAACTCTTAGGGGTCTCTAAATCTACACAATATTAACAACAATGTTTTGCAATTATGAAGATTTTTTTCCTGTGCACATACATTCAACTTAAATCTAATTTATTTCATTTATTAAATATCCAAAATTCATTTTTAGCCAATTTCACATGCATAGGATCCATATAATATAAGAGCGCAGAACATTAACTGGCGAAATTAGAAATATGCAGCTTACGTTATTTAAATTTTCATCTGTTACAATCATAATGTTTAAAGAGAGACAATGAAATGGGCAGGTACAATCAACATGGACGTCCGAGAAAACATTGGATTAAAATTCTAGTTTGAAATTCATTTTCAATCCACCTGAGCTGTTTTCAAACCTAAAGTGTGAATGTATGATCCGAAAGACAAATAATTTCAATTCCCAAATACATGTTGTTTGACATTCATATTTATGACTACTTTAGCATATAATTTTAAGGATACGTAAAAGTAAAAGAAGACGGGGATTACTTTTTCAGGGAACGGCCATTTGATTCTAGAAGGGGGGGGGGTCAAAAATTGTCGAGTCAGATCATGCCTTCACATGATAGAATATATTTATTTCTAGGATGACAAAAGCTTTTTTTTTAGTTTTGTCTTCACTGAAAACTGTTTGATAAACAAAAGCAGGGAGGGGTTGTCAATTTAAAAGAAAATTTTCATATTTATTCCAAGATCGTTCAGGCCGCCTCCCTCCCAGCACACACATACACATACCATACAGAAATCAAATATTTGTCCATTTATATTTCTTTAAATACACTGGACAGAAAATTCTGATTTATATAAATTTCAAACTATTCCAAAATTGAAATTATTTGTCTTCTTGGTCAATCAGTAACATCGTATGTTCTTGCGTAGCTGAGGTGGATTGAAAATGAATTTCAAACTAGAATTTCAATCCAATGTTTTCTTGGACGTCCGTGTCAAATTGTACCCACCCAAATTGTTCCGCGGTCTTAATTTGTTAAGCAAACTGAATCAACACAACTTTGAATGGCTTGCATTCTAATGGTTCTATTGCAGCAAAGTTCTCTCAAAACAAGCGTAACTTTTCAAGTCATTTGGATGTAATATATGAATCAGCAAAATATTAATGGACATGCTGATACAGCTCGTCCCAATTTCTGAAAATAAAATCTTTATCTTCTGGGCTCCTTTCTTTAATTTTTCGAGCATTGATAATTTATTTCAAATACCTATGAAAGCATCTGAAGCACGACGCCCTCCCTACTCTCTTCTGAATATGTAGAAGATCCTTGGTGCCAACAACCAACTGGCACTTTTTATTTTCAATGTTACCATCACCAGACACTAAATCGTCATTTTTTTTCCTCTGATTGGAACAAGCAGTTGATATTATCTTTTGGGTATAACTGGTTCTTTTCGGACACAATAATTAATTTTTATAGAATTTTTGTATTTAATTTTTCTATCAAAATGTTTTTTTTTCTTTATAACTCAATCATTATGTATTTTTTTAACATCCCATAATTTTTAATTTCATGCGAAGAAATTTCTATATAAAAGTAAGTATCTCTGAATACTTTGCCTTTTCTTTGTTTGTTTTACATCTCTTCGAGAATTTTTACTCATAAATAGACACTACCACTTGCCAATGGAGGCTAGGGCTGCAAAGTTTTACCTATACAGGACACACAAAACCATTGAGCAGTGAGGGATTTTTTTTTTATTGGTGCCAGCATCTCCTGCGAAATGGAATCTCGATTTATACGGTCTCATCCGAAGGGTCCGTTTCTAAATGCATACCGCAGTGGGATTCGAACCCACGACGTAATGATAAACACATTACTTTGAATCTCTAGAGCAAACGATTTGAACAACTGTGCAACGCGAGTGACATTTACTATTTGTGATTTTGATTTGATACAAATTTCAGTGTAATTGAATTTCAGGTATACTATACAGCTGAGCTGGACAAGTTTTTCAAACTTTCAATGAATTAAAACGATCGACTTGAATCTGTTTTGATTTTTTAAAAATCAGATGTAGTTTAACGAGCTACTGCAAGAAATAAAACTGTTGTAATAATGAGGATCGATCTCTCTCACACATCGATCACTGGTCTTAATAAGCCATTGTGTCCGCACACGCATGTATTCATTCATTTTAATTGTTTTATTAATAAAATCAAATGAAACTTTTAATGATAACGTATTACTGCAATACACTTTTATATACAGACATGTTGAAATGCATTAATTAATGTAACACACGTTTTTCAAGTTCAATACTAGTGTTGTACACGTGACCCACTAAATGTTGATAAATTCATGAAATCTAAGATTAAAAATTAATGTCATCTGAAATTGTCACAAATTTACTTCTTTCTTTATAAGTAATTCTTATCTGCAGAGTGGTCAAAAACACTCAGTCTTGTCGGCAAGGTCGGAAAGGAATTTTCTGGACCGATAACGTACAAGAAAACTGTGGTCCAAACGACCCTTTAATTGAAACATTGAACGTGATGCAAATTTCTAAAACGCTGTGCCTAGGTAAGGGCCACAAAACGCCGAAAACGCACGTATGGTGCCGATTGTCGATCAAAATTGTTAAAGCAGGTCTCTGATTAGAGACTCTGTATCATAAGATTGGATTTTTTGTGAGAGCGAATATCATAAATTTTAAAAGACATCTTATTTTAGTGCTATTATTTTTTCCCTTTATCAGCGATTCAGCGTACAAAATAAGATTCATGTCTGACAAAACTTTGTCCAGTCTAACAGATCATTTGACTTTGTCATACCAAATGTCTGACAGTGATTCAAAAATTTTGACAACTCTGCCCTGAAAATCACTGCACGGTAAATTCATTTACAGTTGTGTAGACTTTACAGTTGTATTCTGTCCTAATGTACTTAGAAGTATAGGTGAAATATTTGCGAGATTTTGCCATGGTTTATTTCCTTCTTCACATGACTATTAATTGTTTGGAAGTTTGAAAAATAACAATAAAAAAGCAGTTTCAGTTTGTTATACGAATCTAACGTAAACGGTTATAATTTGTTGTTTTCCCACTTAAAATTTACATGTACATGTAGTTCAAATGCCTGACTCGGCTGTTCCGACTTATTTTATCAAGAATTTCATATATGTGAAATGCTTATAAATTTTATGCCACAGCATGAAAACAACTTGAAAACTCAAAAAGCTTACTCTGGTAATTTATCTTTAAGTTTCACCTTTCTGTTTACGTTAATCACCTTCTCTTCGATTTTCTTCCTCTTCGATGTTAAACGTATTAGGATTCAATATTAAATGAACAATTGTACATTTATATCCAAATCAATGAACATGTAATTTGTTTATTCTTTTGATGTTTATTGTATTACCAAATAAATATTGTTGAAAACTTCGAATATTTATGGCTAAAAAATAGGTATAATATTGATTGTGAAATAATTTTTACCACGCGTTAGTCAATGCAAAGAGGTTTCGCGCAGTCATATAGTTACATGTGCAGAGTTGTCGTTAATACTTCCATTTCATTGTTTATAGGTGCCGCTGTGTGTGCTGCAAGGGAGGTTCGTGACGACAATTTTCAACATTTTTTTTTAGTTCTGTATAGACCAATTTTAATTTAATCAAAATATAGTATTCAAATTAAGTTAAATGAAATTCAATTGCATTTAGTTTCATGTCATTTATCAAAGTTAGATAAATTCAGAAAATGGACTATTTTATGGCGGACGTTTATGCAAGTTTACATTGAATATCACAGGAGTAAATTGGTCGACACAGAAGCCCCACGGACGGCCACTATATAATCAATACAAATTACTGTGCTTAGAAAGCCCGTGATGACCAAGGGAGATTGAACATAGTTCAACTCCCAAAAATCCAAATTCAAACAAACTATCTCCTTGCTATTTAAAAATGACCCAGTTTTGTTTTATTTATAGCATATGTATCTTAAAACATGCACATAAAGCTTTTTTTTTGATTGTTGTTGCAAATTTAATTGTTCTTTTTTAATCAGGATATACCTCTAAGCTATTAACTTAAATGGAAAAATATCTAGATTTTGGCAGAATTTTTCATTATTTAGTTCATGTCACAAAAAGTTAGTTAGGATCAACCCCCTTTTCGATCCACTTCGCCTCCCCAATGTGAAATACTTGCCGACGCCGCTGTATCTTGAAGTGCATGAGAGTCTCCTTAATAAATAATATTCTTCACACCTACTTTAAATTAATCATATTTTAATTAAGTCACAACTTTAAAAATATGCAAAATTATGAACCATATCACTAGAAAATGCCTGATCTCATTTCAAACAAGTAATGATATAATGGCATGTCTTGTGTTGAAAACTCACTGTCTCATTAAATTCTTCCGATCTGTTATTAAAAATTCATCCACTTCAGAGGAATCAGATTCAGTGCGCAAAAGTTCGTGTCCATTTTTCGTCTTACGACGAGTTTTACCACTTCCAACTAAAGCGTCAAGTTCTCGACGCTTTTTCATTTTCTTCGATGGTTTGAAACCAACGTCTAAATTTCCCTGGGGGTCCAACATAGGACTTTAAAAAAGAAGACATAGGCCTAGAGAAATTTCAATCGATTTATGTTCTATCGAACGAAAACCCGGAAGTTACAAATACATATTAAGTCGTACAAGTAAAGCATCAAAACCATAATAACTCGTTCTTCAAATACTCCTCCCCTTTCACGTGCATAAAAATATCGAGTCCTGATAATTTTTTCAACGAAAGCAAGATCTTGATGGAGCATTATCCTGAATGTGATTAAAATCACCGGAGTATATGTACACATAGTGAAGAATCAAAGTATTGCTCCAATATTTGGCCCATATATAGTTTATTATAGAAAAGATAGCTACTTTATCATATGCTTTTCCTCCCTCAATAATAATGGCTGATGATCTTTTTTTCCCCTTGTCATGGAATTTTTCCTCTGTAGTGCCCCCCTAAAATAAATTGAAGCTAATTTATGCTTTTCCTCCCTCAATAATAATGGCTGATGATCTTTTTTCCCCTTGTCATGGAATTTTTCCTTGGTAGCCCCCCCCCCCCCCCCAAAAAAATTAAAAATTAAAAAAGGATATGTTTGGTAACCACCCCATCCACCCAAAAAACCTGAAATTACTTCCTTCTGCCTGTGGATTTGAAGCATTTTTTCATCAGAGAACAGAGGGATTACTGCACAGAAAAAAAGAAAGCATGATATGACATATCATTGGATGATCCTAAAATTTGAAGAAAAAAAATTCAGCATGGATAAAAGTAAACAATAAGATGGATACATGTTCTTTTAACCAAAGGGAAGGTAAACTGTGTGGTTCCACATGTACCTAGTACTATTAATTCAGAAAATGAAAGAAGGTTAATTTTAAAGATTTGACCTCAAGTCTTCAACTAACAGTTTTTCAAAATGGCTGAACTTGTAAAATGTGTAAATATGGCCAAAACGCAATCACTTTTTCTTCAATTTTTTAAACATTTAGAAATTAATATATATAAGAAAATAGCTATCAAAATGCATTTTGACCCTCTAAAATTCTCCTTCAAAAATTCTTGAGAGGGACATTAAACAACAATCAATCATTTTTATCAATCATTATTTATTTCAAAGGGTCATAATGACCTTTGGTTTTCAAGTTTGTGAAAACACTAAACAACAATACATTAAATTTCCTGCAAACAACATGTTTTAAATTAATCAATCAGTCTGTCCTTCCCCGAACAGCTTAACTCAGTGATTTATTTACCTTGACTTAACTGTTGCTGAAGGTCATTCACTTGATTGGAAAGCCAAACTGTGATGAAACCCATCACTGTCACTGAGCACACCAGTAACAAGAAAACCAGCATTTTGATGAACTGCCACAAGTTACAGACACCACCACCAGGAGAGGTGGAGGCAGCATAAGGGATCCTCTTCCTGGAAGGTACAGTATGAATTTTATTGTCAGTTATAATTGATAATATTAAATGACAATTAAGGCATCAAAATTCTTTTTTTTTTCTAAAAATAAGTTTGTAGAGATCTTACTGATGAACATGTGTATGCAGTTGCAGAAAATTTTCCCCAACATGGTGTAGAAAAGATGCAGAAATGAAGAGATTTAAAAAAAAGTGCAAATTTATTCTTAAAAAATCAACATGACAGGAATTAACATCTGTAAATTTGTTTTGGAAACCCCTTGAAATAAGCTGACAATAAATCTAATTGCTTTATAGCTTAGCCTTGAGTCTTCAGACATACAGAGGAATGGACACAATGGTTCCAGTACAGGGTATAATATTATCCCCTACAACTTTTTCTTTTTTGCATGCCATCTAGCAACATTTCAGTTAATGACAGTTGGATTTGCATCAGTGATCTTCCTTTTGCAACAAAGTCTGTTAATTTTGCCATTGATTTTATTCAAAACTTATATTTCAGTATGTTTTTTGCAAAATTAATTGCTAATTTTTGCATTAACATGTTTTGTGCTCTTTCCATCACCCTTAAAAATGCCCAATACATGTATAAAAACTTAAGTAAAACTAAAAACTAAATTTCAAGACAATTCTTTTTTAACAATCTATTTTTTTAAAAACAAAATCAAGGGGGGGGGGGGGGTATGATAATTGTTTCATTTCTCCAACCTCTAAAATCAGATCATATCAGTTATCATGTCTCACAGTATTTTTATTAAGCCTGCTCGTAATTAACCCATCATTGTCACCAATGACACTCACTTGAGACAGAGACCTAGACTCAAAAGGATGTGCAGTTTCACTGTCTTCACTTTCCTCAATTATCATCAGTTTACAGGTGGAAAGTCTTTTTATGGTTATTAATTAAAACCTTGATTATTCATTTAATTTTTTTCAATGAACATATGCAAGTTGCACATTGGAAATGTACAAAATCTATACCAATTTTGGATTGGGCCGATCTGTCTTAAAGGATTTTTATCACGTCTCAAAATTTTTTGATATGACAAAGTTTACATGTTATTAAAATCATATATTTAAAATTCTTTGCTAGAAAATTAATATTTTTGATGATTCAGCGATTCAAAGTTTAAATTTCTCAACATGCATATTTTGATCGCCAATGTTATGCGCCATTGCTCTGACGTCATAGGTGTCAATCCTGGTCAAGCAAAGTACTAATATTGTTATACAAAAGGGGTACCCATACAAAAGGGCTCATTTGTTGCGTCTGTTAAACCTGTTAGAAAAAAATTAAGTGATAATTGGATAACTGACAGCTAGTAAGGTATAATTTGTGGCTTTATGATGCACAAATGTGCACAAGAAAGATTTTAGGAAGATTTTTTCTCCCACATTTCCTGGACTTGGTCAAGAGATGAAGGGGGGGGGGGCTTTTTCTGCAAACGCGAGGGCGTTTATCTCCATTCAGAACAATCGTTTTGCCCGATCACGATTTTTTTCTGTACTATAAAATGTTTTAATGAAAAGATACCTTTTTTGAAATAAATAAATGATCAACACGCATTTTTTAAAAGTCGCACAGAATTTAGTAGGAATGTTGTGAACTTCTTAATGGCGTACGGTGCCATTGAAGAAGTGTCATTTTGAGTACATGATATTCACTGCTGGAACAGACAGAAGATATACAGGAATTTATTTATATATAATAAATTGAAATAATTCAGAAGGAGAATTTAAAATTCCCATATTTATAAATGTTTATGAAGTTAAGCTTTAGTGATTCGTTCTATTTTATTTTAGTCGAAGTCCCGAGTTGTCAATGGCTTCATCTTCAGTGACCTCTCCAATTATCGGCTTATTTTCTGGTAATATTTCCCTGCTAGATGTTCATACTTAAAAGATTGACCGTCTATAACCAAAGAAATATGGTTGATGTCAAAATTTTGAACCGGCCATGTTGTGTAGTCTATTTACTTAACATAAAAATCTATTCAACATAGTTTTTCTTACGATAAGCTTTACAAGTTCCAATTTACCATCGACACCTATGACGTTTCAGTACTATGTGACCAGTATCTAATTAGTGGAGATTTTTACTTCGAGTACTATATTACGGGCATTTTATCATCTTACTACAACCGTTTTCAAAATAATTTCATAATGAAACGATAATTATATGTTTTAAGAATATAAAAATGGTTCATTTTAAAGAAATTTTGATACGTGATAAAAACCCTTTAAGTCTTGGGCCGACCCGTCTAGGGCGAGGTGTTATTGGGCCTAAATGTCTATGGGCCGAGGTGTCTTCACATTCCCATCCCATATTGGTCTGGTTTACAGGTACGTTAATAGGTCGACTTAATTTGCACGTACAGCTAATGTAGATTCTACTCAACTTAAAATATATATATATATATTGTGCATGTAATTAAAACGTGTTAAAAAATCAATTACAACATTTCTTTTACCTTCGAACTTGTTTCTTCCCTTTAAGAGGAGGTAGCTGAAGCTCATCAGTCTCCGATGAATCGTCGAGGAGGTTCATCATGATATCCTCTCTCTGAATGTGACCATTACTTCCGGGCTTCATCTTGAAATCTATGTTTTCATTATACACTTCTCTATATTGATTTGGTAACAACTTCTTCAACTTTGACAAGTTTTTTGGGAAACTTTTTACAAACAGGAAGTTGTTCAATTGCTGATTAGATTGTACTATAAATATTCGTCCTGCTGATTCTTTTACCAGGGAAATCCGCACATATAATTTTACTGTTTTAGTTCCTATTAACCTCCTTTACAGTTTTAGGTGGATCAACACAGAAAAATCAATAAGTAAGATAAAACCAAGGACATATATATTTTAGTTTGTAGGTCCCTGATAAAACACAATAAAGTTGATAAGAACCATTTAAACAGTGGACTAAAAAGTGGTAACTCTCAAGATTCTAATCTCATTGACAGTTTCCTGCTTTGCAGAGAACAAATTTTGGGCTCAAATATGATTGGTAGATATGCAAAAAATGGCCCTGTTTATATCCATATATTAATTGATAATTATTGTAGCCCCATTATGCTATAATCACCAAGGTGAGGTAGACTTCATACTATCATAAAATAGCTAATTCTGAGAGTTCATGTACTTGAAAACATGTTGTGTGCCCTTACTACACCCCCCCCCCCCCCAAAAAAAAATCATCACATGTAATTATACATCAAAGGCTGTGCTGTACATAAAACTGAAAATAATGGCCATAATCATTAAATGGATATAATGAAATTCATGATGTCGCCATTTATAGACTAGCAAGAAACTTAGATGACTTTTATCTGATGTGTAGTCACCATAAGCTTAAGTGACTTTTGAAGAGTTGTTTGGTAAAAATGAAGTTTTATTTTTCCTACAGGTCCATGTTGGTAAGGCTCTTCTTGAACCTTGCTTTCAGTGATCATACTAGTTTTTCATTCAAAATATATCAGTTTCATAATGTACCAATGAAAATGAATTGTCCTGAAGATACATGTACAACTTAAAAAAAAAAATTTTAAATATTTTATTTCAACAATAAATGAAAAAAATGCAAACATAACAAAGATGACATGTACATTATTTCAAAAATACATTATAGTTACATTCCTTTACACCATATACAAAAGGCCCAAGGGCTACAATGCTCACCAGTCACCATGCTTTTCTTTACAATGTATGTAAAAAACACCCTTATCTTGGTGATCTACCAGTTTATTTCAAATATCAGTATACGAAGACTTGATGTCAACTTTACTATTTTGTGGCCTTCTTGTTCTTGTGAATGTCAACATTCTTACACAGTGACCCTGATCTAGTCTCCAAGACCTTGCTTTGAACAAGTACATATTATATGGGGATCTATGCATATCAATATACTTAGTTACTGTCCTGTTGTTCTTGAGATTTTTTGTAATCTATGTTCCCATGGACCATGATGATGTTTTAATAATGAACATGACAAAAGACCATGCTGTTCTTGAAAAGATTTTTTCAAATATATATATATATAGTGTACGTTTGTAAAAATTTTAAACTCAATTGTGGTCACAGCCTAGCCCAATGGGATATGATTACAGTTAGACCTCGCTAGTTCGAACTTGACTGGACCAAGAAAAAAAACTTGAGATATCTGAGTATTTGAGATACTGAAATTAAAATACATAAAGAAAATAACAGTAGTTTGCACTTCCAACTGACTTTCAGTATTCAAGATAATGCAGTTCAAATATATAACAAATTTGAACATACACTTGACTGCTACATATGGATACTTGAATATCAGCAAGAGCACAGACTATAGTTTTTGAGAAAAAGAATTTTCCTACATATTCTCATATGAAATTTTGACCACTTATAGGTGATGTTGAACACACTTCGATCAGAAACTCTTACTTAAGCCTTTGGCTCAAGTGGGCTAAAAAAAAAGAAAACAATTTCCAAAGACTAGAAACACAATTCTTTTTTTCATACAGTATTTGTAAAAGATTAATACTTTGCAGACAAATATAAAAGTCTTATTTAATAGTTATGCTTCCATCTTCATGTAATTTACACTAAATGATGTGAATTTTCTATTCACAAGCCCTGATAATTCTGTACAAATGCTCTGTAGTTATTTCTTAATCAGGCATTTTACCGTAAAATTCAAGAACAAGTAGACAGTGAGAAATATGTACCATCTCATCACATCCTATTATAAACACAGGAAGTATTAAATGGTTATAAAAATAGATTAAAAAATTCCTACATAAACTCAACATAACAAGTTACCCAATCTGTCAAATTTAAGTTGTAAATGTCAGATGTATACAGGTATATTTTTTCCTATTCTGACAGACTTCTCTCCATCTTAACATTTAGGACCTAATATTATCTACATCAATTAAATGAACATGACTAAGTCTAATTCTATGACAGATGGATGCTAATTTTAACTTCTTTCAAAATATAAGACTATTTTACATAGACTACCTGAATGTATTTAAAAGCCTAGATTTCATTTTCAAAGTATCACACTTTGAACTTTTGATTTTACAGTTCCTCTTGTAAAAGTTGTTATTCAGTTTTATATTCATCCTGCAACCAAACTTATGAATTGTAGACACAACCCCAGTGAAAGCTCAAACGTATACAAAAAATTGTGTAATTATTCTAATCAGATACACATGTATATAAATAAACATCAAAATTATTATTTTTTCTTGGTTTACAATATTCAGTTGAGGGAGGTTGGAACAATTAAACATGAGGACATGTGACATTTTTCTCTGCAATGATTATGAGGATTTGTTTTATCAAAAATCTATTATTATTATTATGAAAATGGACACTAGAAGATGGACCTTTCATAAACATCTCCATAAATTTGCTACACAGAAAATTAAGTGATTGAAAAATAAAACATATATAGTCAAAATATTGATTACCATGATGAAAAATATCTATCTATTTAAGAATGAAACATGATTGAACTACACATAGTTCGTTTGCCAATAGTATTCACCACTATACAATGAAAGACAAAAGCAAAACAACATGGCCATTTCATGGCTTTGGCAAGTACATGTGTACAAGTCAGACTCAACGGTTACAATGTACACCATATTCCATGAGTAATTGACATTTTTCAATAAATAAAGTAATCCAGGTGGTTATTGTAGGGAAAAAAATGGTCATTTAGCCTAACATATGGATGTTGTCAACCAACAAACATCATACAAATACAATATAGAAGAAACAATTATTACTAAACAAATCAAACTTCTACAGACAGATTTTCTTGATTGCTTTGAATGATAGCATCTAACAAGTACTCCAGATTGTTGGAATTCCTAAAGAAATGATGCTCAAAATGAACCCCTGGTAAAAGCCTGTGAAGGAGGGAGTGAATTCTCTTCATGAACAGCTTCAAACACTTTTTGGGCTTTTTACACAGAACAATGGAAGGTTCAAACACATCAATGACTTTGTCTTTTGGCTGGTCTGTACAAGCCGTGCTAGTCATCAGAGATGTCACATCACAAGTAAATTCATCAGACGGAGTTTTTACCACAGGTGTGGAATTTCTTATTGCACATTCACTATTTTTTCCAGGGTTTTCTTCACAAGTCTTATCTGCTAGAAGACCCATTATAGGGTCAGATCTAGAAGAGAGGTCACGCTTAGAGTCACTGTTGTAGAGAACACTGGCTAGCTTGTCCAGAACCAGAACATTATTTATGTTTGCTGAATTATCAGAAGTTGTAACTTCATCGTCGCTTCTATCAATGTCACCTTTATTCCACTCCTCATCTATAGCACTTGTTTCATCTGAGACATGGAAGATAGCACTGTCACTCACAGATGATTTATTCAATTGTGTTGGTTCAGTACCAACAATGGATATGGATTCTTTGTCAAGTACATTGGCACAGCTACCATTTTCCTACAAATATTTTATATTTATTACTCAAATTGTCAATTTCAATATACAGTAAAACTTGGTTATGGTGAAGTTCTGAGGACCTGCAAATTTACTTTGCTATATCCGTAAATCATTAGATATGTAGAAAGAATTTGTTTAAGTATAAATAGTGAATTTGCAAAATAGATGTTTCCTTCAAGTATGAATACCAAATGTATCTAGGGAAGTATAAAATATGTTTACATTGGAGTTCAAAAGTTTTCGGATGAGTAGAGTTTCAGATATATATACTTACAAAATTAATGTCAGTTCAATATTTTATAAATTGAGATTTTTGAAAATTCACTATAAAAGATGTACATTTCGTTATTTCAACTTCTAGGGGGCACAAAATCAATTCCCTATAACCGTAAATTTGATATATCAGAGTTTGTTATATCCATAAAATTTTACAAGGAATTGTTAAGAATTTCGCTGGGGATTGCAAAAAACTTCGCTATATCCGTAATTTCCCTATATCCGTGTTGGCACTAAACAAGTTTTACTGTATAAAGTCAATCTATCTACACATTTTAAACAAAATTAATATACATGTATCTCAATGCATTTATTCATTACACAATATCTTAGAGTAAATGACACAAGACAACCATAAGCTATACCTGAGAAGTCTCTCCTTCTGGTTCATCCTCATCAATGGTCATATGAGTCCCATCTGGAATAATTTCAGTACAATTCCCTTTGTACTTTGCTAGTTCTGTACCCAGATACTGAGAGTGATCGGGAGCAACTGGATTCCTATCCACAACATTTTCATAAGTATTGGTCTGATCATCAGAAAAGTCAACGCTGACAGAAATTGTCTCACAAGTAGCTTCACAAGTGAAAGACTGGTCCTGCACGATACCTGAATCAGACAAACTTTGAAACTTGGAAGCAGGAGGTGAGGACGGTATGTTGGATACATAGGCTGTACAATTCTCCAATACAGGCATTTCATCATCCATGTATTCATCTTCATCCTGGGACCTGTTTGGAGAACACACTCTTGTGGATGGAGATTCCTCTTGCTCAGTGTCTTTCTCTTTACCACTTGAACGAAGAATACGCAAAATAAATTCTACAACTTCATCCAAGCTCTCTGTTTCTGCTTTTACAAAATGTTTTAGATTTTCGGGTAGTAACGTTTGAATGAGTTTCACTATTTTATTTCTTAGTGACACCAAATGCAACATGTCCTGAATGAAATGTTTTTGCTCTCGTAAAAGCTTTTTTTCTCGTTGGCGGGACTGTCTTTCTTTTTTATTGTGACTCTCTGCATCAATGCAACAGGAACAACTGCTATTCCTAATGTTGCGAGACCTCTGTCTTCTAGAGATTTTAGCTGGGGATATATCTACATGACACACAAAGTCTGGATCATCTGATGCAAAGGATTCTTCTTCCTGAGCTGTGGACAAGAACGACATAAATTGCTGCTGCCATGCAATTGGAGTTAAGACAGATTTTCGACGGGAAGGAGCTCTGGCTGTTGTTGTTGGATTATCACCAACTTTTTCATCCTTCTCCAAGTTTGAGAGCTTTGGTTCAACCACAACCAGAGATTCATGTGCTTGTTCAAATACATTTTTACATTCATCCTGCTCATTTTTAACACAATGATCAGTTTGGGTTTCATCTGAAATCTTTGGTTTTACCTCTTTAGATAATGAGGGAATTTCGTCAGTAGCCTCTATTTCCTGTTGAGGTGAACCAGGCACTTTTGGTATCTGAGATTCTGTCCATTGTTTGCTTTCTTTGCACAAGCACCCAATGTTTTGGGAATTGTTATTTTGTTCACAAAACTGAGTATCTGTAAGAAGAGATGCACTCACTTGCTTTCCTATGACCTGAGACTGTTCTTGACTAGTTATACCTTCAGGAGATCCACAACTGTTGCTGCTATTAAAAGGAGAATTACCATTGTCACGATTTCCAGGAAACTCTTGTACTATACCTGTTATTGGGAAATCAGTACAGTGTGTTTCACTGTTCATCAATGATGAATTGTACTTCCTCGATTCTTCTAGAACACCTGTAGAATTGGATGTACAACTTCCAGAATGGAATTGGGACCATGAAGTCTGATTATTTTCTACCCAATTTTCATCTTCCTTGTTTTCAAGGATTCCATCGTCTTTATTCTTGGTTTCCTGTACATCAGACTTTCTCTTCTTTTTGGCTGGACCAGACCCCCACCATTGCCTTCTGTATTTTTTCATCAATCTTCTGTATACACTGTTTTGCAACTCTTTCTTCCCTTTGATGACAGGGCCTCCTTTCAGCAAGCCATTTACATTATGCTCACCAACACTCTGCAGGTGAATGATAAATTCTCTTTCAAATCCTGCCATCGCTGTGGTGCAATGTGTATCACCTCATTCTGCACTAAAATTAAAAAAATATATATGATAAATTACTATAACAAATCAAGCTATTCCAACATCAATTTCTTTTCATATTTAAAGATTTTTACCCCACTTGGGGGGGGGGGGGGGCTACAATTATATGAATAAAATTAAATTTACATTACATGAGGATGTTTTCATATTAAATTACTGGTTCTTATGTCTTGAGATTAAAAAATATTCTATATTAATAAATCAAACATATGCCAATGTAAGAAGGTGTTGTCAATAAAAGAAAATGAAAAAAAAAAAGAACAGTTTCAAGAAATTTTAATTCCCTTCGTAGAACAATCCCTTTTCTTAGAATGAATAAAAAACATTACTGTATATGGGAATTTTCACTCATTTACCCTCTTTTTTCCTGTTTGCTTTGAATAAAAGATTAAGTGCAAGAATATTTTCACATCCTCTAAATATTTAATAGTCTATTAAGTGTATATATGCTTAAAACAGTAAACTATAATATTTATTGCTGCAAAAAGCTGAAAAAGAGTGATGAACTATTTCTACGATATAGATTTCTTACAGAAGCTTATCTGTGTTAAAATTGTGAGATTGAATACGTTCAGCAATTGCTACTTGTACATGAAATTATTAGTTCTTATTAAATTTTATAATCATTTCTTTCAAAAACATCGTAAAAATAATTTTTAATACCACTGCCTCTTTTACAGATGAAAATAGTTAAATTTTAAAAGATAGTCATTCAAAGATGGTTTGAGAATGAATGCCCTTGTGAGATTCCATACTTTTTGTACCATTTGTCAACAGGGAAAAATTAAGTAGAAGTCGTGGATTACTGCTGCACGTCATATTTTACATCATATTTTTCATGCATTTTTTATTTAATACACAGATTTGGGGCATTATTTTAAAAATTTGACGAGAATTCCCGTATACAATAATGTTTTTTATTACTGAAAAGAGGAACAATTCCCTTTTAGCATAACAGTTACTGAAAAAAGGAACTGTGCCCAACCTCACAGGCTGTGGCACCTGAATTTTTATCAATAAGTTGCAAATGAATCCCTGGATCAAAACATCCTACCCCACTGTATATATAAAGACACAAGATATGCAATGCCTTTTTAACCCCTTCCTCGATTTGGGCTTCGATTAAGTATATAGAAATCATGGTTTACACATAGCAATACGTTCAATTATGATACTTCCAACTACCTACTCCATCACATCTTTCAATTTAACATCATTGGTAATGTTGTCAACTTAAAATCTGTGTAAATTTATACTTTTCATCCAAGGTTCAACCTCTATCATCGTTATTAATCATTATTAATCGTCAACATATCGTTCAACAAACATGGCCGCTTGATGTAAACATGAAAATCGATGTCTGTTTTAGAAAATTTTGAAACTGTCAGGATGGTATATGAACAGAGATTTAATCCTCAGTACCAGTTAAGTAAAACCGTCATTTAAAAATTAAATATCAATACACCTGACAAACCTTTTCTGAAAATCTTCCCTGAAAAACTCTTCTACTTGATTATTCTGGCGCGAACACGACATCTATCGGTGTAAAAATGTTCAACTTCCTGTTGGGAGGGTATAATGTCCCGATGAGTATAATATCCTGATTGATCTGAATATAGAATACAAATGCAAAATTATAGAATACAAATGAAAATTATACAATACAAATGGAAAATTATACAATACAAATGGAAAATCATACAATAGAAATGGAAAGCTATAGAATACAAATGGAGAATTATTGAATACAAATAAAAAATTTACAATACAAATGAAAAAATATAGAATACAAATAAAAATTTTACAATGCAAATGAAAATAATAGAATACAAATGGCAAATTATACAATACAAATGGAAAATTATACCGTGAATACGACTGGAAAAGATCGAATATTGCAACGTTTGACATGCCATATGAATGAAAGCAAATAATTTGGTTTTATAATTTTCCGTGAAAATCACAGTTTTTTCAAACATGTTTATCATTTTAATTGTTAATTCAAACTGTAAATAAAATTTCGCAATGCTTTTATAGTCGATATTTTTAAACAAGAGGCCCAAGGGCCACATCTCTCACCTGAGTACTTTGGCTAGGGAAAAGCAAAAATCAATTCAGCATTAAAGTTTTAAATATAAAAGTGGTCCCGACGTTTGATCTTCTATTGAGGCCTTGCCCTACCCACAGGTACATGATTTGAACACTCTTGACTCTTCACTTCCTGAAGATGCTTCTGAATTAAATGACTAATCATGGCTTTGCTGTTCTCCAGAAGATTTTTCCTATGTATTCCTATGTAAAACTTTGATCCCTCATTGTGGCCCCACCTACTCCCGGGGGTCATGAATTGAACAAACTTGATTTAACACTATCTGAGGATGCTTCCATATCAATATGACTAAACATGACTTTACTGTTCTTGAGAAGAAAAGATTTTTCCCATCGTTTACTATTTAAAATTTTGATCCTCCATTGTGGCCTCACCTTATCCCCAGGGGGCATGATTTGAACGAATTTTAATCTACACTATACCTGAGGATGCTTCCATATCAATATGACCAAAAATAGCTTTGTCATTCTTGGTAAGAAGATATTTGAAGATTTTTTCCGATATATTCCTATGTAAAACTTTGATCCCTCATTAAGGCCCCACCCTACCCCTGGGGGTCATGGTTTGAACAAATGATAATCTAAACTACCTTCGGATGCTTCCATGTCAATATGATTAAACATGGCTTTGCTGTTCTTGGTAAGATAATTTTTGAAGATTTTTATTTCTATAAATTCCTATATAAAACTTTGATCCTCTATTGTGGCCCCACCCTACCGCCGAGGGTCATGATTTGAAGAGAGTTGAATTTACATTATGTAGAGAAGGTCTCGCATAAGTTTAAACTTTTTTGGCCCAGTGGTTCTTGAGAAAAAGATTTTTAAAAGATGCAACCAAATTTTCACTATTTCTTAATCATCTCCCCTTGAAAGAGGGCGTGGCCCTTCCTTTGAATAAATCTGAACCCCCTTCACCCAAGGATGCTTTGTGGCAAGTTTGGTTGAAAGTGGCCAAGTGGTTCTGAGTTTAGATGGACGGACAGACGGACGACATAAAATGTGATCAGAAAAGCTCACCTGAGCTTTCAGCTCAGGTGAGCTAAAAAGTGAAAATCTTCTTTTTACACCGTTTCTGTATGGTATAATGATGTGGAATGATAAGCAACAGTTTTTTAATGAATATAACGCAGTCCTTGTTTTATGAAAGTTTGTTCTGTTTGTTTCATCTTCGATGAGAGTTGATAATTAGAAACGGGGAGGGATTTAGAGAGGCACTTGACGCGGGGGTGGGGGACCCAATAATTTACAAAGTTAAATATGTATATACTTTATGGTAAAACAAAGGTAATTTACAGTTAAATTTTGTCAGTATGTATTTTACAATAGAAAACAATGCTAATTCTCAAAAAAAAAAAGTCTGAGATGACTTTAAATTTTTTTTTGAAGGGGGGTGTCAGGAATTTTTGCTACGTTGTGCCCCCTCCCAATCTGTGTAAACGTGAAGAAAACGAACAGTGATCAATCTCATAAATCCAGTAAAGCATAAGAATCGTGAACAAGGCAAAAACACCGGACCCTATAGAAAACACCAGGCAGACATGGGATCAAGTGCCTACAGGCGGTGTAAGCATCTGCTGTCGATTGTTCACACCCGCCGTGAGCCCTCTGTGTTGATTAGCAGGCGCGGATCCAGGAATTTTTTCCATGGGGGTCTACCCCAGTCAAAAAAAATTTCTGCCCAGCATAAAAAAAAAAACAAACTAAATTCCTTTCCCTATGGAATTCCATATTCGACAGCCAACTGCTAACTGTCAACTGCTAACTGCCAACTGCTCACTGCTGACTGCCAGCTGCTTACTGCAAACTGCCAACTGCAGCTGGTGATAGATGATATCGCCTGTTTTGCTATCCTTAATATCTTTAATTAAATACGTATGCTTGAATAAATCCTATGCAAGAAAAGAATGGCGAACAATAGTACAATTCATAGTCCAGTTCAATTTTCAAAAGTAGACACATTTGAATGATTTTTCATAATTATATAGATTTGTATGTGATTTTTCATAAAACATAACTTATCTGACAGAGAAATATGTCTTAAATGTTGGTAAACTTATGTTTTTCACTATAGAAAAAAAAAGGGAAACGGAAATGTATCCCCCCTCCGTGAAACAACAATTCCTCTTCACAGGTATTATTAATTGTTATTTCACAAATTCATACCAATTTCAAATGAGATAACAAATAAAATTAATGCACTTTATCAATCTAAACACGGAGAGATTAAGCCATTTATCCATTTCCATGAGTATTTGAAAATCTGGTGATATTTTAAAGCCTGATTTCAAATGATAAAATTCTCTACCCCTTATGAAAGGAGTTGTAAATAAGAACAATTAACTTTTGACACTGGTTTTCAAAATTATTATTTCATTACCAATGAACTTTTCTTTGCATTCAAACAAGATAAAATGGCCAAATTGCCATTTTATTTATACTGAATTTAACGGATGTAAAATGTATGCTGGAATCGAGAGTAAGCCTGGGTAGTTCTTATAATGATAACAAAAACTGAAGGATTTAGAAAATTTTAAACTGTGAAGGCGAGGAAGGAGCAAATCGGAAGAAGAAATATTTCCCAAAACACCCAATTCCCACATTTCCTTGCAGGCAAATAATTCAATAGTTAATTTTGTTGACGCGGGGAGGGGGGGGATAAAATATCCAGCATTGTCTTCTAGTGTTTCTTTTTACCTATGAAAAGTACCTGTATTTGTGAATTGTTATATGTGTCTTATTAAATGAAATATGAAGAGAACGAACAGTATTTAAGCTCAAAGTCCATTAAAACAATACAAATCGGGAGCAGAGCAAACACGGACCTCCAAAAACATCAGGTGCCATGGAGGAGTGAACATCCCCAGCCGACCGGTCACACCCGCCGTGTGCTCCTTGTCGAAAAAAAAAAACACGGAAAAACCCGTAGACATTTCAGTGTGTAAATAATGGCCTAACAATTAGCATGAAAAATGTCAGTCAGCATTTGACTTAATGATAGGTTGTATTTGCTGACAAGGTCATTGTATCGACCATAAAACTTGCGAAATGATGACTTCAAACGAGACTGTTGATATCCCTGTTTCATCAATTTGTTTTTCAAAAGCTTGCCTCGTTTTAGAAATTGTTGATACGTAGAACATGCTTTTGCGTATCGAATTAACTGGGAGACAAAAAACCATATGCAGGTGATAAGGGTATTTTGCTACATAAGTAAGGGAAGTTGACGATTGGAAAATTGAAGTCATCACGTTTATCATAAAGCTTTGTTGTTAGGTTACCATTAACGTCTTTTTCTAGTAAAATATCCAAATATGAAACAGATAGGTCATACTCTGTGGAATCTTTTATTTCAAGCTCACTGGGATATATCGAGTCGACACATGATTTGTTTGTTTGTATGTTGTTTAACGTCCCTCTCGAGAATATTTCACTCATATGGAGACGCCACCACTTGCCGGATGAGAGCTGCAAATTTTGTCCTATGCTCGGCGCTTACGGCCATTGAGCAGTGAGGGATCTTTATTGTGCCAGCATCTACTGCGACACGGGACCTCGGTTTATACGGTCTCATCCGAAGGACCGGTCTCCACGTCCCACAGTGGGATTCGAACCCGCGACGTAAGGATCAATTCCTTACTTCGCGACTCTAGAGCAGACGCTCTAACCACTGCACCACGCGGGCGTCGACATATGAATGGAAGTGACTATTGTTAATTGATAATACGTCGTCGATATATCTAAATGTCGAGTTGAAGGCCACAACAAGTGTTTTCTTCTTCTCATGTAGAAGTTTTTTTTTAATAAATTCTGCTTCATATGAATACAAAATTAGGTCTGCTAATAAGGGGGCGCAATTAGTACCCATGGGAATTCCAACAGATTGTTGGAAGACCTGATTTCCAGAAACTACATTGATATTGTCAATCAGAAACTCAAAAAAATTTGCAAATGACAAGGTAAGAATATTTACGAGTTCCATTCGCATCTATAATAAACTCCACTTCCTGACCTTTAAACCTTTGGCTTTGACTTCAACAGTTTTGAATTTAAAATATATGAGGATAATTGCATAGTGATTTGTTGATTTCTTGTCCATCACTCCATTGTAACAAGGAGGGAGAAAAATGTGATGGACAAGACCAGGATTCGAACCCAGGTCCCCCGAATCTCAGAAAGGTGTTCTACCAACTGAGCTGTATGGCCACGGCGATCAAATCCGTCTGACCGACACTTTCCTCCCTCCTTAAAGGTCTTAAAGACAGCTCAGTAGGAAGAGATTCAGGGGACCCAGGTTCAAATTCCGGTCTGGTCCATCCCATTTTTCTCCTTTCCAGTAACATTTGGTCCCATGCTATGCCCTGGAAGTGACAGGTGAAAAACCTGCCAGGGAAGATCGATTCTGGTTTTGATGTCTTCG